ATGGGCTCCTGAAAAAGTATAACTTTTCCAGACAGTTCATGGTCTACCCAAACACTTAGAAATGTAGACCACCCCCTCAGAAGCTGCCGCCCAGGGCAAAATTAATGCTCAGGTCCCTGAGATCACGAGAGGTTCCCTGCAACCACTGACTTTACTGAGTTTAGTGTTCTGGATGGGTAGTCGCATACCCTAAGGTGATTGAAAACGAGATAACCTGCGTAGCTGGCACCTGTAATTATCTTATTACAGGCCGCGCGTCCTCGAGATTTCCTCCCTCGCCCTAAAACAACTGCATGCCTGCTACGCAGGTTACCAACGAGAGAGAGTCGTGTACGAATGTTCGACTGTAGTAAATTCAGGTGTTGTTGACATTAGACGGCAACTGAGTTTGCAAATGCACCGGTGAATAAGCTTCTTTGCGAAGACAAACTTTGAGATGGAAAAACGGTAAGAAGGGGATATACGTTTGTACTGAAAAATTCAATAATATATCAAAGACCAAGACCAGGTAATTGCACGAATCCCTGAAATGCGACATTTCGTGAGAGTGGCTTCAACGCACCTTGGCGAGTAATGCGAGTAGTGCTTAGCCTGTTCCAGGTTCCGAAATAGTAGGGAAAGCAGATCGAGAAAAGAAATCTATTCAATAACCATCCGAAAGTAACGACTACCCGAAAATAACGGCGACCCTAAAATAGCGGTTCATTTTGCCTGCAGGATTCGAAAGTAAAGGGGGCCGTTACTGTCGTTACTTTCGGGATTGTACAGTATTCTCCTGACGTCGAACGCATTCATTCCTCCGAGTTATCCTCAAAACTCAGCCTCCTTAAATAAATGTTGTTTCTTAGCCTAGAAATACCAAACACAACAGTATAGTGGTCTATATTGTATTGCAAATGAAATGATAATTTGAGTAGTGGAGATCAACTAGAGATCCGTGAAACTAAGAAAACTAAAATGACTCGCAGATTCCAAAGGCCTATAAAGGGTTCATTGCGCCAACTCTTGCAGTGACCCTGTTGTAGGTCGTGTTAGGGCGAACGGTTTAGTAAGTACCTAGCCTTCGTGGCAGGCGTTGAAAGGGGAAGGGGATGGGGGAATTTGGCGGCGCGAGAGCGCGCGAGGGAGAAAGGAAAGGAACTTCCTCCCTCCTCCCTCGCGCGCGGTCTCGCGCCCTCAGTTCCCTTCAGCCGTTCCCTTTCTAACGCCTTCCACGCAGGCTAGTAAGTTCCGAGCTGAACAGCAAAAAGAAGGTTCTTGAAGTGAGCATTTAGAAAAAACTACGCAAGTGTTGCGATATCAGTTTAAGCGGGGAATTCGAGTTATCGGGGTAAATTTCAGTGAAATTTTGATCACGGAAAAGGAAATTTAGTTCGAGTTAGCGGGGAATTCGAGTTATCCGAATTTGAGTTATCGAGGTTCTACCGTAGCTAAACATGAATATTACGAAACAAAACTAAGGCACACGAGTGCCGTTGCAATTTGTAAACCCCGTCGTGCTTGCCCTGAGATCACAAAAAATTTCTTTGCTATTTCGTTATGATATCAAAACTATCCGAGCTCTTTCCTATATCTTCCCTCTATTCGACTCTGTTCTACCTGTTATCAGCAGGAGCCATAATGGCTCTTGCTATCATTTTATACATATATATACTATAATTTGAAAAACTGAACAGTGTCACGGTCTTCTGGACCAATGAGTCATTGACCGGACCTGTCTGAGTAATAGCATATCGAGCATGAGACGCAGTGTTTCATCACTCGATGAAACACTGAGAAGAGAGTTGAAAATACGACGCGCAGCGGAGTATTTTAGACGAACTTTGAGGTGTTTCATCTGGTGATGAAACACTGTGTCGAATGCTTGATATTACTTCCAAACAAAATGATTTTAGAGGGAGAAATTAAGGATGCAAAATTGAGCAGTTTTTCATCTGATTTCTAAACACTCATTAATTAAACATAATTTTCTTTGTATTGCAGTCGACTCCCGATAACTCGAACCTGTTGAAGGGAAATCGAGAAAAGGTTCGAGTTATCGGGAGTTCCAAGAAAATAGCCGAGAGTAAGGTATAAAAAAACAGTTTTTACTGCACAGTGAACATTTTAATCACATTAAATTGTAGAAATCTCAAGTGAAAATTAAAAGATACTTTTAAATTATAAATCAGAACGTAACGTAACAAACATAGCCTAAATAGAGCATGCGTTTTACTGTTTTGAGAAGAAAAGCTGCTTCACGTTAGCCTGTGACAATCAACATCAGCTTCCCAGTAAACTAAAGTATACTCCTACAAGACGTCAATAGGAAATCCAAAATTCAATGTTTCGGACGCCAGTAGACGGCTTTTTTCCCGACTTTTTAAGGGCTCAAAACATGGTTCGAGTTATTGAGGGTAAACATATAAAGAAAATGTCCTGTGGGCAAACGAAAATTGGTTCGAGTTAGCGGGAGTTCGAGTTACCGAGGGTTCGAGTTACCGAGGGTAAAATTACAGTGAATGTAACAGGAAAATCTTGGTTCGAGTTAGCGCGAGGTTCGAGTTAGCGAGGGTTTGAGTTATCGGGAGTCGACTGTATCTTCTGTATCTTTATGAATTATTAATGAGTTTCAGAAGATCTGGATCACACACACACACACAAACACTTTATCAACAATTAACATGCATGATATCCGTTTCCGACCGCAAAGGGCAGCTGCTAGTCGAGGCGGGCGGAGATACAGGGGTACAGCAGTCACTGATAAATTAGAATGGTTAATTAAAAATTAATAAATGAATAAAACTTAAACGTGAATAAATAACATTTGCTAAATCACCCACTTGTAACAGTTACATGTATTTATAGCTGACATCGTAAATGCTCTTGGCTTTTGGCCATGCTAAAAAAAAAACTAAAAAAGGCACGAATGAGGCCGGATTCTGGGGAAATTCCTATTACTGCCTACACGCAGAGGCTTCGCCCGAAAAGAGTAGCTTTTCAGGCTTTAGGTATATGAAAGAGTAGGGATTTCACTTATTGAAGTATTATGAAAGGTTAGGGAAATGTCATTTAGGTCAGTGAAAAGTCTCAGAAGGGCTAACACTGATTCATTAGTCGAAAAACAGTTGTGGTATTGTAATTTATTCATATTTTATAAAGACAGTGTATTTATATCAGTCGAAAGGGATACAAAGTTCTAAGTTAGGTATGTGAAAGGGGCACCATTAGTCAAAAGAAGGTATACGAAAGGGATACATTTTCTGTCAAAAATGGTATATAAAATTGTAAGGGAGTCAGACCTCGGGGCGCGAGAACACCCCTAGGGGCTAGATACATTATAACAACAAACATATCGCTCTGGCGAAGGCAAGAATTAAGACAAAATAAAATTTGAATATGAGTGCTCGATAATTCACCTTTGAAACACAGAACTTCGTCGGGGGCCGTCTTTGTCCCCGACAAAATTCGTGTTCCAAACTAAAAAATATTGTTTCCCAAATTATTGAAATTATTAAACATTTGAATTTTTTTCTCGATTCTTCAACTCACCGAAAAGATATGTTTGTTTTTTTCTTCTTCATCAGGGAATAAAATATTTTCTGTTTCCTAGGGGAAAGGATGTTAAAACAGGAGTCATTTGGCAAGGCGCCGAGAAAGTAAAAAGCATGCAGGAAGTTCATACCTTGACTTCAGCCTTTCAAAGAAACAGGTGATGAGGCTCTGCGCACCACCCCCCCCCCTCCCATTCACCTCACGGCAGGTGCAAATCGAGAGAAGGCCTGCTCCAAGAGATGACTCGCTCGCGAGCTTGGTACCTCTTTCTCTATAGCTACACAACTCGCCAAACGTTGATGACGACGGGAGAAATTTTGAGGATCATGGTGTGGTGGGGGCTGGGTTGTAGAGCAGAAAAGGAGACGATGTCTTCTCTCCCCTTCGCGTGCCAGTCCTCTCGCGCCCCAGGCTACGAATTGTTTCAAAGAGAGTACGGCAACAAGAGCTTTTAGGCTTCTTACTTAATTGACATATTTTTTAACGTTTGAATACAGTTGGCCTCCTTCTCTCGACGTCTCGCGGATCGGTGAAGAAGCGTCGTCTTCATCCCTAGCCGTCTCCTTGAGTTCGCGACTCGCGGAGAGGGCTGAAATTCAGGCTATTTGCGCGTCTCCTACCCCTAGTTTTTCCTTACGGGAGATGGAGGGCTATTCATGAATATGAGATACGATGTGAAGGAAAAGCCTTATTCTCTCTAAGTACTCTAGCCTTTTTTTTTGTTACTGTAATTAATTATTTTTATTTTGCTGCCAGACAGCCGCACATTTTGCAAGTTAATATTCTCCAAATCATGGTTGCTAGGGGAATTTCTTCACTGGCTTAAAAAACGCGACATTTATATGCGAATTGCTTTTACTATCGACCTCTAAAGGTTAGCTGACGGAAAATCATAGAGGTTGTTATTATAAGGGAATTAGTGCTCACAAAGAACCAAAGATTTGTGTGCTAGTGTGGTACATAACCGGAGGTAGTGGGGTTTTCATTCTGTTTTCTTTTCAATCCGAAATAAAGGTGTGGGTAGGCGTAGTTTCCGGCGATTTTTTTTAATCGTTAAAGACGCTTATCCAACATCCTGTTTGTAAGCACATGCAAACATTGATCAGACCTTATTGTTTTCAAAAGTGTAAATGTCAAATTAGTGTTCTTCGTTTTATTTACATGACTGTCCACAGTTCAAGCGATTTGTCGGGTGGAAAAATAAACGAACAAAGTATTGCTTTCTCGTTTTACAGTCATGTTTCCACGGTTTTCCGTCATAAAAAAAAGTGAAATGACATACGATACGAAAATAGCCTTTGTACGTCAAAACTTGTTGACATGTTACATGACGTTTAGAATAAAGAACATTCCTTTCACCCGGGGAGTCGTAACTCTCCTATCACTGCAGCGTGGTGACACGCGGGATGTTTTTGCCAGCGAATTCTTGCAAGACTTCTGATGTCTCCCAGTCGTTTTAGTTAGATATGAAGTACACACCACAGATGAGGACCACGACAACCGAAGTTGTTTATGTACCGGATAATGTCGATGGAAAAGCTTACATGGGATATCAGAGATTTAAACTACGTGTTTGGATCTTTTCTGGACTATCGATTCTCATTGTTATCTCTCTGGCTGTGGCATTAATAATCCAAATTTTGAACTTCTCAACATTCCTTTCACAGAAGTACGACCTTGCCGAGGGCGATATGAGGATAATTTCTGTATCAACAGCTTTCTGTGAAGAAATTTCTCTTGGCAAAGACGCCTCTGTAAGGACGTTGTCGATTTTGCCCTCCATGAAACTTGGTCACCAATTCCGCCGCACCAATACATCAAACGAAGTATTCGTCTCAAAATTCCTTTACTGGTACAAAGGGTTTTATTTGTTGCAAGGTTCATCGATTGTCATAAACGCTGAATCGGACGATGCATTATCGCTATTCATTTTCAAGGACAAAACGCGTTTGAATGAGTGGATCGATCGAAACGGGGATCCGCGAAAAACGATTTCCGCTGCGGAGCGTCCTCAAGGAGCGAGACCCACGACGCAGCCTACAAGGATATCGTACAGTTTGAACGCTCTGGAGACCGGAAACTACTATATTCTTTTTGAATTCTCAAAACGTGCAAAGGAATTCGCAAGAATGAAACTCGACTTGAGCGTAAATCGCAAGCTCTACGATTTGACGCCTTCTGTTTATAGTTGCAGCGCGGGGGCTAAAGATACGTGCTCTGCAAGACTACTTTTTGGTTCCTCGGAAGTTGGTGTGATCGAGGTCATCAAAGAACCGATCCAGTCGTCTTATCGCGGTAATGAGCTTACTATCACATGGCAGTGCGTTCCGCGGATTTGGTTTTACGTAGCAGTTTTTGCTGGACCAACATTATTCGCTGCCGTTGTCAGTTTTTCATGCTACTTCGTTGTCATCAGTCGCGAGAAACAGAAGTGTGCGCGGATGCTTGATCAGTGCTCCCTCGAGCGCGCAAGTGTTGCTGGACGCTGTAACTCGTTGTCTTACCGTAGTTTGAGCGGTTCAATGCGACGACCTCCCAGTGAAACACCGAGCGCACGAAACTCGGACATGTCACGCTCTCCCTGTTTCCAACCCGTCGTGACAACAATGTACACTGGTGACTCATTAAGCGCAAGCGAGGACAGTGGAAACGATACAGACGAGGAGATTAAGCAAAACAGCGCGACAGCATGCGCTAAAAAAGGAAAAAGCTCTGTTGATGGGATCTCTGTAGCGTCAAGAGAAATTACGGTTTGTAGAAAACCAAGCTTCACCACATTTCAGGGGAGCGACGACGAAGCTGTCAAAATTAGAACTGCTAAGTCACGCAATCCAGGTGGTCGACTTTGCGAGAGTACTAACAACCAAAAAAGTGAACGAACGAATTTTAATCGCTTTGAAATGCGTTATAATTTTCAGGTCGGTTCTCTTCCAAAAAATCTGCCTGCGCGACGATACTCAAGCGACGAAATATTTGGTCGAGGGAGTAGAACTCTGCCTGTTCAGCGTGGTTACCTAGCAACAGGCGTCCAAGTACCGCATCAACACGCCCCTGGGGCTGATGGTGCAGCTTTTTGCGCTTTGACTGAAGGATCGCCTGACAGCTTCCGCGGCAGACGTTCCTGCAGCGAAAGGTTACACAAACCGAAATACGATCACCGTGGCTTGCATGATAAAATTCTCAATGGCTCCATACAAGCAAACTCACGAACCCGACGATATTCCAGCGATGAAATTTTTGAACGTGAACGTATCAGCATCAGTCTACCGCGTAGTCATGACAACTCAAAGGTCTCCACCCGCCCGCCTTATCAACCCATCTCAAGCATGGAATCTCCTATGTCACGCAATTCGAGTGAAGGTAGGCGTGACTTTTGCGAAAGTGAACAGCCTACTAGTAAAAGACCACGCAATATTTTAAATGACGAACTGTGTGAACGTGAGCGTATTAGCAGAAGTTTGCCGCGTAACCGCGACAACACAGAGTCTACCAGAAACCCGCCATATCAACCTACCACAATCACTGAAGCTGCTTTGTCACGCAACTCACTCGATCGTAACCGTAACATCTGCGAAAGTGGCCAGTTTGGCACCAAAAAACCCCGCAAGCCTTCAAGCGAAACGAGAAACAGGCCCGATGGACAAGGTATTGGCATTAATATTCCTAACGGAACCATTCCAAACTCTTCCATACGACGATGTTCTAGTGATGAACTTGGTGTTAGTGAAGTATGTGGTCTTGCCAGTAAGTCATTACCCCGTAGCCGTGGTCACACACTACCTGCCGCGCCTCTCAGCGACCAACTGGCACCGGAGCAGTTTTTTTCATCCAGTAGGCCCTCTTCTCTTCCTTCTTTGCATTATTCGGCCGGGTCAAAGGGAATGCAACTTCATTCAGTGCCCAACGCCTGCCTAAAAGGAAGCGATGCTGGCGATGGAAGCGATTGCGTTGACAAAGAAAAAGAAGCCGAAAAAGAAAAAGACATCGAACCGCAAAGTATTAAATTGCGGGCGCACTCTATGAGGCGGCGAGAAATGGGCTGGACCCCACGTCTGTCCATGGTCTCTGAGTCCGAAGTGTGAGATTGTACTTTGTCTTTTTCATGTTTTTGTCGAGGAATCACGGAGCTTAAGCAACGACGACGACGACATCAAGGAGAACAGCAAAAAATCGGTACGTTTTTATTGGCAAAACAACAACTCTGCACGTACATCACGACGCTTTTTTGTACATTTCTCTGCCCTCACTGCACGATTACGACGTTCGAAAATGCCTAATTTCTCGTTTTGTAGGGGACGTGACAAAAACAACAAGACAAAAACCTTCTTTTTCTTCTCCTGAATTTCGATACAGTTTTTTAGAATTCACCATCAAAAAAAATTGTCAACATTTCACAAATTGAACGAGATGGTATAAAGCGCGATAAAGTTTTCACTTTTTTAAGTGATACAGTGGAAGCTCGATATAACGAAGGGCCAAAGGACTGGCGAAATGTTTTTGCTGTAACGAGGTTTTGTTATATCGAGGTTATTTTTCATATATTTTACTATTACTGGGGGACAGAAAATTGGTCGTTATACCGAGGACTTGGTTATTTAGAGGTTCCACTGTAGCCTGAAATGTCATACGTTACCACGTCCCGTGGGGGGAGAGGGTTAGGGAGTGGAGATGTATGACATTTCAGATTATTTAAGTGACGTTTCCGTCGCCGTCGCCGTTGCTTAAGCTCCCTAATTTGTCAACAACGAACAATTTTTGCTTTTGAGTTGAACGAGTCGTGCGTTCACTTTGTGGATGTAGCTTACGTAATCGTATTCGGTTTACCGGTCAAAACGCCCCTGTCTTTTCATGCTTAGAGAAAGTAATTAGTTCAAATTATTGAAAAATGTGTACATTCGTGTTTGAAAAGTACCGCGCTGTAAGTTCACCCATCCAAGGAGCCTCATGCGGGAAACACTTTGAGGGGCTGTTTTGTATGGGCAGATTTGATTACCCTGCGAGCAAGCTCTAGGGAGTCTCGAAAAGTCACGTGAGAGCCACGCGAAAGGAGACGCGAGTGCGCCCCTCGCGGCTTCGCCGCTCACTCGCGCGTTCTTTCGCGGCTCTCTCCGCTCACCATAAATGGAGAGCTTGCTAGCAGGCTAAGATTTGACGTAGGCTACAGAAATCGCACCGAAATCACCGTTTTTATATGTGAACAGAGGCCCTATCTGGTATGGTTTTCGTGCAGGTGCAAAAGCTAACCAGTAAAATGTCCTTATAGCCTTACATTTCATGTACTTCTTGCAACGAAAAACGCGAAGCTGAGGGCCGAACGGCCCAAAGGGAAGAGTTCAACTCCATAAATTCGTTTTCTAGACGCTAAATGTTGATTACTGACAGGAATAAATGGCGCGAGTCTTATGAGCAGTGTAAATTTGAAAGAGCTCAGTGGCCTAGTCTCTTTCGCAGCCGTTTTTTGCGTATTCTTTGTATCTAGGATTCCAGAACTTATTCTGACAGTGTACATATACGTTGTTAAAAATTCAGTGCGGATTATTTGGTGCTCTCATTATCTAGTGCTAATAAGTCATTCCGAGTTACTTAGAGTCTCTGTTTCAAAACAAGGCTAAGTGTGAAGCCTTTGATGTCAAAATCATTTTTTATGCAACTAGAACTCATTTTCACTCGAAGTGTTTTCCACTTAGGTTTGAAATTGATAGTTTCTGGAACTCAAAAGTGGCCTATTAGACACATCGTGAATAATTTCGTACGTATGGTTCTTGTTCCTGTGCTTGTTAGATTTGAGATTCTTATTAATATAACATTTCTTTTTAACTTATGCTTAATCACGCGTATTCGCAAGTTTGCCGCTCTCACGCTGCTTTGTTCCAATTTGATAGTTTGCTGTGCAGTTTAGTTCAGTTTCCTGTCACTCCACATACCGTGTGGCACGAATTTTTTGCCGTAGTTAATTTTTGGGGACTGGCGATTTTTTGTGTTTTGCGGGAATTACTTTTTGCGATTTTCAGAAATGTTTGTGAATGAAAGAGGCAAGTTATAATCGAACAGACATGGTTTCTTAGTTCGAGAATATTTACTCTGGAGTAAATTTTTGCGGGAAAAATGTTTGCGGTAATTTTTATTTGCGGGAATTTATTTTTGCGGATCGCTGGGAAAATCGCAAAAATTAGAACCCGCAAAAATTTCGTGCCACACAATAGGCTCGATTACCAGCCGCTGATCAGGAAATGAGCCCACGCTCCTCCACAGGGGAGGAGGGTGACCTTACAGCTCTCGGGATTGGTTGGGAAAACAATGAACAAAGTTAACAACGGAACCTAGCCAGAAAACAAATTAAAGAGCTGCAATCCATAGCAGGAGCCGATTATTGGCCATAAGGGCCCAATTCAATTAGAGGTTCTTAAGAGCTGCAAGGCTACTACAGAAGGAACAACACACCGAATTCGAGACAGCGCGTGGCGGAAATTAAGCCTACTATCTCAGTGCTACATTCTATAGATATACAGCGTTACAAGTTAGGTTCCTGGAAAACTGCCCACTTACCCCTCCCCTAGGCCATCATTTTGCTTTACGTGAGAAGTTAGTATAAATGGTAGGTTAGGGGATGGGTAGGTGGGCAGTTTCCCAAAATTTATCAATAAACATTCAAAGAGAGCTCAGTTATATAAAGTTTGATATTGTGTTGAATGTTATTTTGTAACATGACAAATACAATGCAACTGTCGAGATTGTCGGGTCCGCGGGGATTGGGAAAGCGCGAACATGAAAATAAACGGGAAGGAAACTTAGGAAAGGAAGGGCCCTTTTCCTTTTTCCCTCCCAGCCGCCCTTTTCGCGTACCTTTAGCTTTCTCGTCTTCCCCACTATCTGAGAGCCTGGAACAGGCTAAGTAGACCCCAGTGTTGAATGTTACTAAAACATGGAACGGGGAACGAGGAAGTGAAAAAGGGGAAAAGAGAATTGGTGATTAAGTTACTCAATGGGGCTAGCTAGCTGGGGTTCAAGCGAGGTAAGGTAAGGCGCCACAAAAGGTTCCACGTTTGATGTCGGCTACCAAAGCATGGTATTTTAGTGGGTGAATTGCAGCAAAGTTGTACTACATGACTTCAATCATGGCCGAATTTGCTGCAATTTGTCTTTCCCGATTTAACGTCTACCTACTTATTTATTCAGATGGTTCGGTTATATCAATTTTAAGTGAAAGCGTCTTGACCGGTTCCGCTCAGCCGGAATCGATATACGGCTGGAATAGTCTACCCTTATACAAGTCCCCGTCCCGTTCATCACGTTTCCCATAACGTTGATATGCAGATTTAGCCAGGCTAAAAGCGAAGCTCTCGTTATTATACTTGTACTCAAACCAAAGGAAAAAAAACTACGAATTTTTAAGAAAATTCTTTTTTCGTGAGGACTCTTAAACGCTGAAAAAGGTTAACAAATCTCTAAAACTATAATTTCCATATGTTTGCGTTGCTCGAAATCGTGAACATTTACAAGGCCCTAAAGCTTTCTGCTAACTTGCAAGGACCCATCTGTTATAAAGATCTCCAAAATAATGGGATGAATCTCATAGTTTATTAGATATAATAGTGTAAAGTTTGCTTATCATTTTCACATAAATTATGACCTAAATTTGGAAACGCTGAATTTCTCGCACTGGGTCTTTGCGATTTTGGTGAAACTCGGTTCAACGCAAGGCACCAATGCGCACTATATGTAGCCGAGAGATTTTCACGATAAAAATGCCGGCAACAGCAGAATTTCGACTCAGACTCCAAAGGGGCGTGGCACTATAACTCCACGTGACATTTACCCCGATCACCAAAAATTTCACTTGATTGTAGATTGACCTATATGTTATCCATGCTATATGTTAGACTTACGATCAAAGTAAAGGTGGGGATACCAGAGAGCTTCAAAGTAGGATGGTACCCTCACAAAATAACTGGGACGAGTCACCTTAAGAATTCAACCACAGGAAAAATCACCCACATTTAATAAATTATTTTCGAAGGTCTAGGTAGACGCGAAAAAGTTTGAATGAAACCAAATTCATTTTTAGCGACGTTTTCACCGCCTTCGTCTTCATCGTCGCTCAAGCTCCCGAATTATGGTTGATTATAATCACGCCAGCTATGCAGGTTAAGTCTAGAAAAGTAAACACACAAATCATATTTATTCACACTTTATTTAAATCAACACTGCCACAACGGCTACTTGGGGAAAAAATAAGATAAAACTGAGAAGAATAAACTTTCCGTGCTATAAAAAGGTCTTCAAAACTCACAAATATTATACAAGTGTTTGAGACCAGATGATGTATTCCGGGTCCGGTCCATGATCACGGATCAGGGATAAGAAAAGTTAATTCACCATTGTATTAGCCTTCCTTCCTTCCTTCCTTTTGTGTTATTATAAATGGATCTCAACTTCAGTTGCAAGTATCAGAAGTTTCTAGACATGAAACCCTTGCTAAACATTTGGCTTAACGCTGGGTTAAACTTAATCTTGCATCTTTTAACCCTTTCACTGCCAAATGAGGCCGAAGGCAAATTTCGACCAAATTTCAATTTCTAAAATTTTGACGAACAAATAGCACCATGAGTAAGTAAAGGCAGAGAGCTTTCATTTGAATGGTCACATCATAGGATTTGGTCCGCAGAGTCGCCTTACAAAACTCCATCATCCTCTCTGGCAGTGAAAGGGCTAAGGAACCGGGGCCATTAAAGCAAAACCTGTTCCCGGCACAGGAAATACTTTGAGGCGCATTAATTAAATATTGTGCATTTGTCATTTTCAAGGTTGTTATGTAAGCATTAATAGATATTTACAAATAAAACTTTTTTCACAGAAGTAAAACAAATTCTCCCCAAAGTAGGGATATCAGAGCATTCTTGACCAAGTATTGATAGTTTTCAGCCAAAATAAAACCTTTACAAAGGAAAATTATATCTTTGGATCTAACAGTTTTTTTCAGAGGAGAAATAACTGCACAGATCTGCAAGAAGTCTAAGGGCACTTTTCATTTTTTCAGAACTGAGTGGACCCCTCCCGTCAAAATGAGAACTTCATTATTAATCAAAACTATCCAGCCAGATCAGTCAAATCCTAAGTAGTGTGCAGGAAGGAGATGGTTTTCAGCAAAAACCCTTGAAAAAAACCGATTTTATTGTCAAAATGGCTAGTCCAGCAAAGGACTGGCCAGCCAGTTCTGACCAATGGAAAGCGCTCTAACTTTCCTTGACAAATTAATGGACCTTAGTAAATTGTACTAACCTTTATTTCCTATTTTCCCTTTTTTTTTAGCAGTATTTCAAATATCCATGGTTAGAAAAGCAGCAAAGGGCAGAGTATACCCATAGCCCTTAAAAAATGTCCCAAAAGTGACCGTATGGAGAATTTGCATGTGGATATTAGAAAGGGGTAATCTTACCATGAATGATATTGAGAGCCACAGGGTCAAATGGCCTGATCCTCTGGATTTGGTCAGAGCTGGCCAGCCAGGTCAGTTATAATAGTCTAAAATTGAACCCTGCTTGGCATCCCCCTTTTGTTGAGGGGGTGGTCGTTTATTACCTGTGAGAGAGAGCGTGCCATTTTGCTGGGGAGTCATTTCAAAATCTTGAATGATCTTGGGGGCACATTTTCAAATAAGGGAGTGTTACCTGAGGGATGATTTTCATAAATTTCCTGAAAGTAGCCCAAAACAGTGGGAGCATGAATTGAAATTGAATGTAACAGCCGTAAATAGTAAACACCGATCTCATAAACATGACTGTAAATAAAGTATGTGGTAAACTTCGGCACGATTTGTAGCTATAATATTTGTGGATTCCATAGCAATTGGGTGGGGGGTAACTATCACAATTACGTAAAATATCTGGGGGATCATTTCTAAAAAGCTAGGCTGAATTGGGGGGTTATTTTGAAAACCTTCTTACTAAAGCTTTCTCAAAATGCCCCCCCACCCACCTCAAAGGTTATAAACGACCAGCTCCTGAGAAGACAGGTATCCAGTGATAGGTCACTCCAAAATGACTTGTCTGACATTTAGCCAACAGGAACCTCATTTAGTACATCCTGGAGAGTAACCTAAACCTCTTGTCTCTATTAGCTTGGCATTTTGTTTAAGCTGGGTAATAATGTGATGACTTAAAAATTGCCTTAAACCAGTTGTTATCACGAGGAACCGTGTTTCCCACACAACTATAAATAATTAATTATCGTTTCACAAGTTCCAGGTAATGGTGAAGAATCAAGTTCTGGCAAGCTTGCTTCCATCAGTAACTGGCAGAAAGAGTCAAGAGGTGTTCTCCATTTTCTATGCAACCAGACCAGTGTTGTTATTGGAACCTGAAACAGAAATTAAGAATTCTTTTTATTTACAAAGCAAGAGGGATTCAGGGCTGGACATTTAAATAGGTAAAGAAGCCATCTGACAAAGATTATTTCTGGCATCAAAATGATGATTGTGACTTTTGATAGTATATACTTCATGTAAGACTTCATAATTATAATGTCCTAAGTCATTCCCATTAGGGGCTGGGTCAATTTGTTGGGGGGGGGGGATGTTGAAATTCGGCGGTGGTGGGGGGAGTGAATAAAAGAGAGTATCCAGATTTTAGATCTCCAGAGGTTGGCATCTCTGCTATAGACCTTCCAGGTGTTTGCCAACGGAAAATTTGTTTCACTGACATTCATCTTCTATTTAAGAAACGGTTGGTAAACAAAAAACACAGCTTATTATAAAATTTGCTACATTTCAGCTACATGTAGGAAAGCTCCCGGGCATGTCTCACATTTAAACCGTTAAATTTCTTGTGAAGGACTAATGAAAGACAAAGAAATGTGAACTGAACAAAGGGTGGTGTTGCCATGGAAACATGAGCTTACAAAACCACAAAGACAATGGCAGGAAAAACCAATAATGATAAAGCAAAATCCCATTCTCTTTATCTGTATTTTTAATAACAATACTGAAATCCAAGTTGCAGGTCTGGCTGTGCCCTTGTAAGTGTCTGGTGGTAATTGACGTCATCTGTGCTTCTGCCTTCGCGTGGCAAGGAAACCTTCAACATGCAAAACATGTAATAAGTGAAAAAAACTTACCTGGATGGTCTTTCATAGGGACTTCCTCCTGGAGTTTGGCTCTTGATGAATTTGGAGAGACTCTTTGCTGTTTTTTCTTCTTCATACAGCAGTAGACTACGAGGATGATAATAACAATAAGCAAAAGTCCACCAATCACACTGCAGACAATGATGATAGTAGTCTTATTACTGCTTGATTCTGTGGTGGTAGCAACTGTTGTTGGCGGCGGGACAGTGGGAGTAATTCTAGTAGCTCTGAATGAGTTAACATCAGCCGTGATAACTTCGCCTGAAGGCAGAACCACACGGAAGTCACCAGACTTGACAGCTGCTTCCAGTTTAGCTATTGTCTTGATTAAATCATCAGTAGACTGGCCTTTCTGGGGAGTCATCGTGAAAGTGACATTGATGCTGCCTGACTCCGCTAAAAAATCCCGTATGCAACTACTGTTTGTCACATTCCAGAGAGATTGCAGAACATTCCGCGTAAATTCACTTATTGAGCCATTAACCTTGCTAAAACTAACACCTTTGAACACCATAGTTACTGTAAATCCTTTTGCTGTACTTTCACATTTGTCATCACCTCCGCAACGTTCTGGACTCAAGCAAATGCCAGTGACGTTGCACATGATTTTTCCTGTAGAGTTAAATGGAAACAAATATTATTTTCCATACAATAATTAAGATATTACACACACTTTGATTGGCCAAGGTGTATTAACTTTGCCCAACGGTATATAAAAACAGTCGTAACATCATGACCTTTTGCAGTGTGTATGCAAATCATGCAATCATGATTTTGCCAAAAAAAAGGTTTTGAGCTTAAAACTCAGCAAATTTACTTCCTTTGAACATTTCATTTGTTTCCCTTTGCTTAAATGATGATAGAATTTTTTTAAAAATTGAGAAGGTCTGGGGTCGGTACCAAAAACTTTACACACTGGTGATATGCATGTGCTACAATAAAACTTGCCAGTGCAGAGAAAGACATAACATCACAGATTTGGCACCATAATTTTTTTGTCAAATAATAACAATAATTATAACAACTCAGAAATAAAATAGGAAATTTCCTTAGCAGCTAAGAAAAAATAGGGAGCAACTCATTCAAATCATTTTTAAACTGTAGAAGCAAAGGAAAAAGTATCTTTTATCGTCATCATTGATGGTACTCAACCAAAGAAGTGTTAATCAGGCAGAGCTGTTCAATCCATCTTAAGTTACTCTTGATCTAATATGAAATGTTCCGACAGTTGCTCTTAAACATGATGAGACTAACATGTGAAAGGACTGATAAACTTTTATGATGAAATTTAATGACATCAAAATGCAAACTAGCAATATGTGGTACCTGTATACTGTATTTATTCGATTAACCACCCTGGGTGCTCATTTGAGGCTGGGCACATGCTTATTTTGCAACAAAACCATAAATAGTAATAACAAAATGCGAAGACATAACAAAGCAAGATTTCTATATACTCCGAAAAAACTCCGTCTCCAGGAAAGTCTCTCATTAGAACTTTATCAATTTTGGGGGGGTGGGAGGGGGGCTGGGTGCTTATTCGAGGCTGGGCGCTTATTACATGTACCTTTTTCTGCCTTTAGGATCGGCGCTCAGGTGGGCCCTAATTTGAGGTTGGCTTATTCAAATAAATACAGTATATGAAGACATTGACAACAATGATAAATAACAAATGTGTACCTGTTGGGCAACAATGTTCTCCATGTGGTAGACACCTTCCAGTATAGTTACAAAATGTATGTCTCTCTGGACAGAAACTGAAAATGAGACAACCATTCAATAAGTTTTTTCACATTAATTTTAGTAGACAGTGTGAATCTTGCACAATTATTGAATATACAGTCAGTCATCTCTTAACACTCAACTCTCACTTTGCAGACACCCCCCAATGATGGACATCCTGATAATACAGGCAGCAGCAAAATCCCAGGTAAAAATAAATTGCAGTTGTTTGACTCTGAAATAAACTCCCGCTATTACAAACTCTCACTAAATGAGGACACTAACTCAAGGACCCTACAGCGTTTCCATGCTGTAAAGGGAGTTGACTATAGGGGTCTAATAATATCTAAAGACGTCTGAAGACGTTCCTGAAGAGTTCCGTCTAACACAAACACAGGAACATGAGGGAACAGGAACTCTTCTCCTGTGACTTTCCCTACTAAAATAAGAGAATTCAGATAAAGTCGATCATTGACAACACACGGACTTTTCTTTTCTCTCCTCAGTTCCAGATTCTTTAAATAATAATTACTAAATACATTTTTCAACAGTTAATGCTGTAATGGCTCAATTTTTCTACCAGGCATGAGAAAATGAAACACAGCAGTGTGCAAAGAAAGTAGGGGCAAGTGGATTTTGTTATCGGGCTAGCGAATTCTGTTTTTAACTTGCCGGATGGGCAAGTGATGTTTTTGAGCAATTCGAATAAAGGAAGAACTGTGAAATCAATTCTGCTCGTCAAAAAGCTTTTGGGGCTAGTTCAAATGATGTCTGGGCTAGTAAATGCTGCCTTCAGCTTGCCCGAAGGGCAAGCTATAAAAATGATTTTCTTTGCACCCTGCACAGCCACGAGTAGGCATGAGATCAAAGTTTTTCGATCTGCAGGCATAACACTTGGCAGGTATACGAAGGAGGTGGCTCCTTGTACAGACAAAGAAAAGCATGTACATGTCATGGCCAAGGTGAACAGATATGTTTTGAGAAGAAGTGTCTTCTAGTCTCTAAAGATACCAGCTTAAGGTCTCGGTAAATGAAAATTTTAGTACATTGCTCGATTTTGTTTTTTTTGGATTTTTGGCATGAGTGGGTCCTAAATTTTATTTTGGCAGAAAAAGAAAATCAGAAAGTGCTTTTTAACCGTTCTAAAATGAGCCTTTTCTGCGCTAACCAGCCAAGCATGGACCTCGCGCTAAATCTTTAGAGCTGATTTTCTCTCACTCTATTTTAGACACAAAAATCAAAATTCTCCGACCTCCAGTCGGGACAGGTTTTAAGCTATCGCTTTGAAACTTTCAGATATGATGGATAATGATATAGACTCAAAAAGGGTGTGAGGAATTTTCTGATTTCCCTTTGTAACTCATTTTATGTCAGTTTCTTTGCGTAAATCGCACTCGAGATTCGACTTTTTAGTTTGAAATGCAATAATTCCGCTAATACGAGACATATGCAAATTTCCTCACACCCTTTTTTAGGTCTTTTATCTGTCAATCAGACGCAATAAAAAGGAAGTGAATATTTAACAACGCGAAAGGGCTGGAGCTTCAGCAGTAAACTCGATACCTCTGAGTTCGAGAGCAAAAAACTTAAGCGCCTTTTGAAATTCGATAAAATAAAATCTTTTATAAGGTAATTTAGTCTTTTAGCTTTAATTTGATATATAACTTGCCTTTGTAGCGAAAATACTCGCGCGACTAGAATTTTTTTCTGTGGGCACCTCGTTTTCCTTTACCGAGACCTTAAGTGTATCTGTGCAAGTGGTGCTTTAAGTAAAGACCATTTTAATCTCGAGCTGCAAAGTGATTGTCAAAGAGGACACCCCATACAAGCCTAAGATTCCTCTCAAGACAACTATCAGTTTCATAGGAGATGGCACAAAAAGGAGAGATCCCTAATTCTCAGGAAATTATATCCATTAAGTAAGAGTGATGATTACAAAAAAAGTAAGAGTGAGATATCAAAAGTGAAACAAATGAGCAAACAAGAGGTTAAAGAATGGCTGAGTAAAATAATAATAATATTTAACATACTTGCAGTCAAATCTGTCACGGGCTTCTGCACATTTTACAACGGCACGAGATACCTTTGGACAAACCAGGTTCCTCATCTGACATAGATGGGCCCACCCTAAAATGGAAAAACAAAATTGCATGAAATTTCCCTCTAATCAACTGTTCTCCCTTAGACTCTATAGACTTCTTGTTCTAACACAAGAAGAATCAACATGACCATTTTTTTTTTTACTTTAAAGGTGCTCATTTTGCTCTAAATGTCCTCTCACAACCTTCAAGTGCTTTTTTTTTATTAGAACACCTAACAGAGTGCCCTAGCATAGAAAATGACAATTTTAGTGAGCGTTTTAGAAAGAAGTTGACCTTTCAGAACTCCAAAAATGGCATTTTCAGAGCAACAAGATTTCAATATTTACTGGCGGAAGCATGTCCCTTGCGGCTCACACCTTCAACGCTGGCATGATTTGATGGTGATTACAAAATATCCCGCTTTTACATACTAAGAAGGTTGGACAGTCTGACACGATCTGGTATTCATACCTCCCAAAGCATCATTTTCCAGTGCCTCACTGTAGTTTGCAAATGGGGCAGGTTTACAATCAGATGTATTCTTGCAGGATGACGTGTAGGGACAGAAGACTTGGCCACTTATTGCGTCACAAGCAATTTCAGCCTTCTTTTGTGAAGCTGTGTATTTTATGTCTGGCAAAACACATTCAGTGTTGTTTGGGATGCAGCTCATGTTGTGAATACAGAAAGTCTCATTTTCACCACACTCCATCCCAAATGGTCCCACACTAAAATTGTTCTTTTTCTGCCATTCAAACAAGTTCTCATATGAGCACTTTAAACTTTCATTAATGCACTGCATGAATAATGGGCAAAAGTATTTTCCAGATTCACAAGTTGCACACCAGGGTGTGTTGGTCATGTTCTTTAACATTTCATTGGTAAGATGGATGGTGCACGCCTCGTCAGAGGAAATGCATTTTTGGTTCAAGGCGCAAAACCTGGTGCCTAATCTGCATTTTGCATGTTCTTGTATAGTAGTCGAAAGCCACTGCCGCATTGTTTCACTGACATTATAGGATGTCCACCATGGCAAAGCAGAAATAGTACTACTGATCATAAGAGGATGAGTGGAGTAAGGGCACACCATGCCAACCATGCTGCTAAATGTGGAGGTGACAATAGTTGGCCATGAGAATGAAAGGCTCGAGCTGCTACTGCTGCTGCTAGAACTGGATGAGCTGGAGCTACTACTGCTGCTGGAACTAGAAGAACTAGATGAACTTCTTGAAATAGAACTGCTGCTACTGCTACTGGAACTGGATGAACTTGATGAAACAGAGCTGCTACTACTGCTACTGCTACTGCTACTAGAACTGGATGAACTGGGGCTGCTGCTGGAGCTGGATGAGCTAGAGCTACTGCTGCTGCTACTGGAGCTAGAGGAGCTGGAGCTGCTGCTGCTAGAACTGGATGAACTGGAGCTGCTGCTGCTGCTAGAACTGGAAGAGCTGGAGCTGCTGCTGCTGCTAGAACTGGATGAACTGGAGCTACTACTGCTGCTAGAACTGGAAGAGCTGGAGCTGCTGCTGCTGCTGGAACTGGATGAACTGGTGCTACTACTGCTGCTAGAACTGGAAGAGCTGGAGCTGCTGCTGCTGGAACTGGATGAACTGGAGCTACTACTGCTACTAGAACTGGAAGAGCTGGAGCTGCTGCTGCTAGAACTAGAAGAGCTGGAGCTGCTGCTGCTAGAACTGGATGAACTGGAGCTACTGCTACTACTACTGGAACTAGAGGAGCTGGAGCTGCTACTGCTACTTGGGGAGGAAGTAATAGTCACACCACTGCTTGTCAAAGTGAGATATATTGTACTTGTTATGGGTATGCTGCTACTGCTACTGCTGCTGCTACTACTGCTGCTGCTGCTAGAACTGGATGAGCTGGAACTGCTGCTGGAACTGGGTGGCTTGTTTACCAGTTCTGGGCAGATTAAATCTAGCCCACTGCAAATTTTCCCAAACAATTCCACTTTGTTGCAGAACTCATTCACATGACAGCATTTATCCTCCAACTATTAAAGAAGAAGCTACCAGTTAGGTTAGGCAAGGTACAGCAAAATATAATACACGTAGTAATCTAAACAGTTTTTTGGTCTCAATAATATTTAGGCAAAGAAAGGAAACGTTCGCCAAAAACTCCACGCTTCTTCACTTCTAGCCTGATTCTCAGACGTCCGAGGTCGTTCGTGGTCCCTTCGCTCGCCCGGACGTCTGAGAGTCAGGCTACTTCACTTCTCTCTGACTTGCGAACGCCATTCTTGCGGTTGAAAAAGGAATCGATCCGATTTCTGAAGTCCTATACAAAAGTGATTAAGGTAGCGCACTGAAAATAGTGGTTAGGGTTAAACATAGACTCAAAATGGTCAGCTTTCATCCACTGTTGGGTTTGAGGACGGGTTTAAGTGAGATGGGTACTTGTCGGGTCGATTCCTGTAAACGCCAAAACAGCCGCCATCTTGCATTGGTGGCTTATGAGGGTCGACACGAAAAAGGAAAGGGACTGGGACGAGGATCCAAAGACGTGCTTTCGTTTAAGCTGTCGTGTTGCTTTCGTGAAGCTTTCGTCAAACGCTTCGCATTTTCGTAGTAGCCTGTACACAGACGTTGTTCTATTTTTTTTCGTTTTTTTCCAAAACATTTTCATTTTTTATCATGCGCGCTCGGTGGACTTTAAAGAGAAAATAGAGGGTCTGTGAACAGGCTATCTTCGTAGCTACTGTAAGTTGACCAAAAAGCGCTGCCAATATCATCAGTCTCCGTTTTCAAAAACTTAGAACTTAGTGCACCTTGAAGAAATCAGGTAAATAAATAAACAGCATATTGAGGATTAGACTACGAGTAGTCCCCCATTTTTCCTCAGGGATAGTAGGGCGAGCGAAACGCGAGCGCGCGTGAAAATCACCCCACGCGAGAAAAGGCGACACGCGGTGGGGAGAGAGAAATGAGGATTTATATAAATTACGCTTTGAACAGTCAAAGTAGCAAACTTATCTTGGTGCCATACTTTGTTTGGCTCTTGTTCTATCGTTTGACCTAGGTGAACCTAAACTGGGTTACTTTTATTCACTGTTTTGCCTCTGGTGACCAGTAAAGTTCACAGGTGTCGAGATGGTTTGGTGGCCAGATGATGACTATAAACCCCCGATTTTGATCGTGATCAGGGTTAAGCACTGACTCGGTAGTGATTAGCCGGGGGAGGGGGGTTAAGAGTTGACAATAATGATATATTAAGCACTGAATTAAAATGGTTAGCTTTCATTTCATTTGTCACTATATGAAGGTTACGTTGGAGAAGCTGCATACGTGACTTAAAGAAACCAAGTTTGCAATTCAATAAGAATCATAGGAAGTTTATCCCAGCAGCTAAAAAAAACGACCCAATTCATCGATCCAATTTGTCCCTTTCTACTTTCCCACTTTCTTCGTCATCAATCAACCTTCGTATCCCTTTAATCGCTTAAAGTATTTTCAGTTACTACAATCAGTTTCCTTGCTGTGGCTCTTTTTCAAACCGCAGCGCTTTGTGTCAACACAGCAACTGATGATATGCCTGGCAAAACAAGTTTGATGAGAGGGAAGTTTATTACCAGACAATCCACAGAAACGATATCAAAACACAGTGTCGTTTTGACAGATGTATAGTTTTATGATTTTTTGAAGGACAAAACTGAAGTGAAGTTACCATATCTGGTAAGCGCCTTCACCGAGTTGCGAAATCTCAGGCTAGCTAGTCCTGCGAAACGCGAATAATGTTTAATACCGCTTGTACCAGCTTCATCTTTATACGATCGTTCAAGCCCCTCTTAAGCTACAAAAATTAAGCAAAAATGATCCAAAAACACTTCAGTAAAATTAGTGATCTAGTTACAGACAAACCTTCCTAAACGAAGTTTGAAATGCATAATTGTGCGGTCAGGCGCGCGCAAATTTCCGATTTACTTCTAGGCTAAGTGGATTAAGTCCAGCGTTCCTAAGAGTTCTGTCAGTAGAACTATTTTGAAACGTAGCTAAGATTAAATTACTTACTCGGGTTGAATTACACAGGTTTCCATTCACATATGCAAGCAAACTTGTTACCAAGGCCAGCACTAGAAAAAATAAAAAGAACTGTTCTTGTTAAATGCGGTGGCATTCAATAGACTGAAGGATGGATAATTCGCGCATGAACACTCCACTGACCTATAAGTACTTCCACTGAAGAGCGCGTCATTGCTGGAAGCTTGACTCGCTCTCTTCCCGCGTTCTTGAATTCGAGAAAACCTTCAACGAAACTCCTTGTTACTAGGACAGCGTCGTCTCAATTAAGATCCGAAACTTCTGTGGCGGAAAGAATATAAATTTTTTTCATGTGCAAATCAAGGAATCTGGCTAAACAAAGGCTAGGTGGCCCACAATGTGCTGGCCACCAATAGACGATTACCCTTAGTAATTAGAACAACAGATCGGCACCATTTGTTTGCAAGGTTTCCATGATCAACGACTCTCGAGGGAAAAAACACTCAAGGTTGTTGGGTAATTAATAACTTGGAAACGGACAGTGTTTACGAAAAAACTTCTGTGTTTGGTGTTAGTTGTATTTTGCAGTGCTAATGTAACTAGGGGAGGGTCATGCGATCAAGTTCAATGTATGTGTACAGATGTTATTTGTTTATAGCAAGCGAGTGTTTACCATTGCCAAACTTATTTCCTTTTAATTCCTGGAATTAACTGTAAATTAAGACTGACTGCGTTTTAAGCGCTGTTTTGCTGGGCATGCAGTTGTCTAGACTAAGACCCCGAAACTTCTACAGCGGAAAGAATATGAAAGTTTTCAGGTGCAAATCAAAGAACCAGGCGAAACAAAGGCCAGGCGAACCGGCCGCCAGTGAAACTTGCATTTCGAACAACTATAGGGACCTAGGTTGCCATGATCAACGCGTACGGCTCCAAAGAGAGAACGAAGTCTTGGGTTTTGTGGCAATAAACGGTCATGCATTTACGACCCAACTTCTATGCAGTTTGGTTTAGTTTTCGAAGTTACGAAAATTAAGACCCCCAAATTTACCGTTAAATTTGTCCTAAAACTCGGTGGAAAGGATCGAACATGATATAATTTGACAGATCAGACCTATTTCGGTTACAATTTGACTTTATATTTCGACGGATTCGATTTTAGTGGGTCTTACTTTTCGTAATCTCGAAAACTAAGACGGGTCTTAGGTCTTAGGTCTTAGTTTTCGAGGGTCTTAGTTTTCGTAACACCCAATTCCACTGTGTTAATGTATTATGGCAAGGTATGCATGAGTACCTGTGATGCAAATCAAATCTAACACTTTAATCGCTTCAAATTTTAGCTTGCAACTTTCATGAGAAAATGCGCTTCCTGACTCTAAGTCACGCAGAATTTATATAGGGTCGACTTGAACTGCACTTCTGAAGGCGGTTAAACGACGGTGAATCCGATCCCTCCATGTACAATTAAATTGTAAAATCAGCTTTTGATCTATTCGCACAGAGCCGTACGCTATGTAACAGCTAACAGATCTTCCGGTCCGTCCTTTTAATTTGTTATTTATTTTTTATGCTCACAGAACTATCGGTACAGAAACATAACCATGATTTTGGAGTTAGTCAGTCCGTTGTTGCGGCGATGATATGAAGAGACTCGCTACAAAGTATAGCAGTCAAGTCTACTGAAATATAATATTTATTCTCCTGGGTGTATTTTGGGGAAGATATTTTTATTTACCTATAATAAATAATATTATCTTTGCAGTCATTGTCATTCAAGTTTTTTTTTCGCCTCCATGTACGTTCTATGTTAGGTAACAAAATGGCAGCCAGTGCTTTATAAAATGAGCTGTTTTAATGGTATTATTCTAGCTCACCATGAACCTATCCTGAGCTCACTGAATGCAATATATACTTCAAGCAAAAATATTATCTATTTGTATGTGCATTGGTAAGTTTTGATAAAACAAAAAAAAAAGGAGAAGAGAAAAATGAAGAACCATCTGACCCGTTTCCTTCGCTCACCCGGAACAAACACTTTAATGGTTTTGACATTTTCAATGCGAAAAAAATATTCATGTGCAGGAGCATATGGCGCAAAGAATTGAAAAACATGTCCTGTAGCATCTTAGGATTATACAAGGGTAAAATGACAAGAAAAGAAATTATTCATCTCGGTTTGTGCCTGATAAGGCTCGTTTACAGGGTAAACCAAATAAAGCTCCAGGGGCTCGTTTCTCGAAAGACCCTGAAACTTTTCGGGCCCGAAGGCAAATTTTAAAATCAAAACCTGTTGAATAGTTGCACAGTTCCTAGCCCACAAACCAGTAGAGTAAATATTGGTCAGACTTTTGCTTCTTGGAGAGAAAGAAATATTTTCAATTTGACGTACATTATCTCAGGTTTTATGGTACATTACTTAAAATAAAATGAATACAGTAGTTCTTTTACGTCTTGACAATAATCCCTTTTGCTTGTATCTTTTATTTTCAGGTATTAGCCTGCTCGTGTGTAATTGTGTTTCCTTGGTAACCCGTGCAGCCAGTTCTTCCAGTGCAGTGAAGTACAATCAGCACTGTACTACACAAACTTTTCATTTGGTTGCATGCTAACACGCTTAATGATGGTTGTAGCAGCGTGCCAAAATAACATTGTAATGAGCCCCGCCAAGCCCGTCAAACTTTGTGTTTTTGTACAATGCCGTGCACAACTGGTGCTAGGTCCACTCGTGACCTTTGATCCGTCTCTAATTTATTTACGCACGGAAAATTTACCATGTGCACTTTATTTAAATCTCAAGAGATTTAAACGCATCACCGACACGTCATGTTCACGTGATTTAGGGCAAAACTTGTACAAAGATCACGTACATTTTTGGCAGACTTCATAAATAAGGGTAAAATCTTATAGGTGCGTTGTTACCTGTAGACACGTAGGCACGTGGTACACATGTTTCGCTTGACATTTCGGCAAGGAGCGAGTAGCCTGGTAACCAGAAGTTTACTTCCGTCTGTCGCGCAAGGCGCAGCCCAGAGCGAGGAGAGACGGCAGTATTCAGTTATTAGGGACCTTAATTAAGCAACTACGACGACGACAACAGCAACAACAACGTCAAAAAACAATTGTTTTTATGACCAAAACAATAGCTCTGCACATGCATCACGTTTTTAGTACATTTCTTTGACGTCCACTGCACGACTACGACGTGAAACCTCCCAAAGCGACGTTATATGGGGGACGTGGACATACGACGACAAATGTTCCTTTCTCTATTTGAACATGGATAAAGCCCTTAAGAATTCAACTCCAGGAAAAGTCGCCTACATTTAACGAATTGAGAGGTTCCAAATAGACGCGATAAAGTTTGAAAGGACGCAAATTCAATTTTTTAGTGATGTTTTCAATGCTGTCGTCGTCGTAGTTGCTTAAGGTCCCTATTGTAGAACTGAAAACGATCTTGGAAGCCGGAAACGTCTGATTTTCACAGACTTTAGCGCATAAAATAGCTAAAACATGTGTACTACTATACGTAATTTTAGACACATTCTCGATCAACAGAAAACCTAGATATTGTAAATTTTCGTAGCAGCCTCGTCCCTCGGGCTTCCCCCCCATTTTCCTTGGAAAAAGTCTAAGGCTATTTCCCTACGGGAGCATAACTCCGCCGATCCTCTGAAGTATGCTTACTAGCTTACGCTAACTTGTGTTCCAGCTCCTCTCCTAAAAAATCTCCATTCCCAATTTTGTTTGATGGGAGGGAGCGGGGCTTGCTTACGCTTGGGCGTTAGTTTGAACCATGATTTGAATCACAAAAATATACACCTGGGACATCACGATCTAAAAACCCTTGAATGTAGAGGCCCCTCAACGCATAAATAAAACCGACTGGTTCAGTTTCTTGACGAATCCCTAACGTAGAGAAGGATTGAAGTAGGAATTAAAAGAAAACTGAATGCAAGGCTGGTGTGATGTAATTATGTCAGCCGAAATATTGGCCTCAGATAAATCAGCTCTTTGCTGTATTCCGATCTAGTTGCCATTCCTTTAAATTCTCGTGTAACCTCGCCTGATATATTAAGAAAAAGCCATGGAATCAAGGGATTTGACTGATAAGGAAAACCAGGGTGTTAGCCGGTAGATTTGGAAAACTTGTTGCCTATTTCTTTTAAAATCCCTGACCACGCCCTTGTTAGTATGCTCTGGTGTGAAAGGCTTACCGATCGTTTCGATACAAAACGATCAAATGGATATTACAACGGCGTATACGTTGTTAGCTCATAGAACGAGGTACATTCACGTCACGGTTTTTCTTGTCCACGCGCTTACTACTCTTATAAAAGTGTTTGAAATTGAAGTGTAGTTTTACTGCTTACGTTTGTGTCGAGACGAATTGTACCGAAAAGACCGGTTTCCGTGTGAAAGCCATCAACAGCCCGTAGTTAGCATAAGGACACGCGCAAGGGAGGGAGCGTAGCTGAGCGCGGGTTGGAGCGGAGGCTCCGAGTCCAAGGTGCACTGACCACCAGCTGGATCTGTTCTCGATAGTCCCGCATGCAAATTCTACTGTAGATTAGATCACGCTTGTGAGATAACCTTCTGGTTCGCCTCCGGCCAGTTGGAATTTAACTAGAGTACGGCCCATTTTCCTCAGGCATAGTAGAGCGAGCGAAGCGCGGAAACGCGTGAAAATCACCGCCACCGTCTCGCCTTCCTCGCGAGGAAGGGGAGACGGTGGCGGTGATTTTCACGCGTTTCCGCGCTTCGCTCGCTCTACTATGCCTGAGGAAAAATGGGGAATACTCGTATTCTAGGATTTAACCATGTCATGTTCCATTTACATTATTTGTCTCATTATCTGTGAAAAGCCCCACAAGGAGCGAGTCGAGTCGAGTATTTGTATTTATAGCTTCATTGAAATAAGTAAGGTTTTCTTTTTTCTTTTTTTCCTTCCCTTCGATCTATTATTTTAAAGAAGTAGAAATATAGTAAGCAATGAATGTCAGATACTATGATCAAATGGATGTTACAGTTAGAAAAGTTCCATGCATGTAGCCAAACTACAAAATTCCCTCTTACTGATATCTAATATGCTCTTATGCATCGCAAATAACCGGATAGTAAGGATGGTATACCTGTGGTCTAGTACCTTGGTTAATGGTTGCCACAGAATTTCCATGCGCGGCTTTATGTCAGCGCCTGCACCGTGGAAAATTTAAACCCGATTTTAAAATTTCCCTTTATGCATTATACAGGGAACCCAGAGATCCTGCTTATTCACTAGCTCATACCCAAAAATCTGTCTTAGAGGTTCAACTAGGAGGAAAGGGAAGGGACTTAAAAATACTGCCACCTCTTGATAAGGCGCAGCCTGGTTCCTCGGTCAATCCTGCATGCAAGACAGAGAACAGAGAGAACGCCTAGGCCACAAGTATGGAGCCTACGTATTAAGCGCTGCGCGCTGCGCGCCCTGGATAAATTTGTTGAGCCTGCTATCTGTTGCGCGCGCAGAAATATGCGCGCGCAACAGGAACTTGTATTTTTCCACAGTGCTGACGTCCTTCGATCAACCCATGAAAAAAATTAGGGTAAATCATAATTATCGGCGTCCTTTTGCCTCCAATGATGAAGAAACTCTCATGGAGTCTATCATTCTTTCTCGTTGTTGCCTGTGCCAGCATTTTGTGGTGTCAAAGCGTGAATCCAAGCGTAGATTCGTCAAGCACGAACTTTTCTTTGGGGTAAATTATTTGTGATGTGTACCTGTTGTTATGTTTATACGGGTCACTTATTTCTTCATGTCACTCAGTTTCTGCAGCTTTTGTTGGTGTTTAACAGCTCCTTGTATCTTTATTGAGCAGAGAAAATGCTACAAACGCTGGCGAAGTCAGAAACGTTACAACAATGCCACCAGCTACCACTACGGAAATCCCCCCAACAACAGAGGTCCCAGGAGAGGAAAAACCCGAATCTCCAGAGGTGGAACAGCAAGGTTCCATGACTATATTTTTCATCCTGCTGGTTGTAGGTATGCTGCTTTCTGTGTCTAGGTTACTCAGCAATGTGAAACTTTGTTATCTCCAGCTTACATATTCATGGATAGACCTTAGTTTATTTATTTTAACCCATTCGCACCTGAGCCGCCCTTAACCGCCCTTGCGAATCCACGTCTTTTCTACCGCTTATTTAAATGGTCAAGGACAACTTTGTCCAAAAAACTTGTGCAGAGTATGTAAAGAGATCTTTCAAACCACACCAGAATGAGCACAATTCATTCAAGGACACCGGAGCGAGAAAAAGGCAAAATAACCATGTAACATTGACCTGAACACTACCCTCCTACCTCTCCTTTCATCTCATCCTAAGATCCTTAAAGCTTTCCTAAAAACGTTTCCCCCCAAAATGAAGCCTACTAGATGCCCAGCAAGAGAAAAACAACATGAGGCAAGAAAAGCGAAAAAAAGGGGAGGAGAGAAAGCGAAAAGTAAAAGTCAAGACTGCTGTTTCACTTTTAAACTCAAAAACTGCCTCAAAATTTTGCTTTCTGCGCATGCCATCAGAAGGCCGTGAATTGTACGACCTGTAAACAGCTTTGTGGTGAGTCGTAGCTCTTCATAGCACAACAGGACCAGAAAACCACTCAACTAGCTTTAAAACACGTTTTTCGGTAAAATCTCCAGGGGCGAATGGGTTAATTCATTTAAAAATGGCTAGCTCCATTAGCCGGCAAGATGAAATGATTCCTGCATTCTTATTGGCTACTCAAGGGGGCAAGATGGACTTGGGATGGCCCTCTTCTTCCTCGCAAGAAAATGTTAATCTCTGTTTTTGGCCATATAATAAATCTTGTATCAACCATGCTTGTTTGTTCAAGATGGCTGGATACTGACCTCACCTTTGGTCGACAATAGCGCATATGTATTGATAAGCTGCTCCAAGGGCAGGGTGCAAAGAAATTCATTTTTACAGCTTGCCATTCTGGCAAGCTGAAGCTAGCATTTACTAGCCCGAACGTCATTTCAACTAGCCCCCCCAAATTTTTTGATGAGCAGAATTGATTTCACAGTTCTTCTGTAAGTTGAATTCCTCAAAATACTTCACTTGCCCGTCGGGCAAGGTAAGAACAGAATTCACTAGCCTGATAACAAAATCCACTAGCCCCGTGTTATCGGACACTACTTTCTTTGCACGCTGAATTATTGTTCATACCATTTGACCAAAACACCTAAGTGGGTTGTCTAGTGGCATAATGGTACTCACAATTTATTGTATGTATGTCATGCCATAAAGTAAATTATACTACTATGTGAAAAATGTCTTCAATTTGTTTGGCTCAGAGCAGTGGTATTTTAGTTTACTTTGAAATACCTACATATGAAAATTACAAACCTCTTTTGATATTTCAAAATTGTCTCAAATTTCACTCGCCTAACAGCTCATGAAATTATGTGTAACAATTTCAAAATATCACGCGTGGTATATATGCTAAATATCACTACAAATCATGCTATTACCTATACTAATATCATTTTGCCATGTGTCTGTTCAGTTATGGATGAAAACGACATACAGTTAAACCTCCCGTGAGTGACCACCTGAAGTACAAAGAGTTAATGGAGGTGATCGCTCACTAGAGTCAAACTTTTACCAGAAGAGTTTTGGACGCAGTTACTTTTTGAAGAGAAACAAGAGAACATAATGAGAGAATGTATTGTATGAAATTACTAGGTTACAATATAAGAGTACATTGCAAATCCATGTTGTTCCTAAAAGTTCTTTTCCAACTCTGAGTAGTATAGTCCATACAGTGATCATAGAGATCAGTTCATTATATCACTGAGGTGGTTGCTTAGAAGAGTAAGACCAATGGAAAGTTCTAAAACCACCGTCTTTGAAAGTGGTTGCAGTCAAGGCTTTTGGCTGGATTTTGTTGTTTTCGATAAGTGATCACTTATTAGATTTGGTCCCTTATGAAAGGTTGTCGCACATGGAGGGTTAACTGTATGTTCTCACTAATTTTTGACATCTATTGTCCGACTGTCCAACCATCTCGATTTTGTCGGGACTCTCCTGATCTTGCTTCAAAACTAATCCCGAATCGCTGACCAATCTGGAATCAGGATAGGAAAAATCCTGATTTTTTCACATATGTTCTGATATTTTCAAATGAATTCTTATGATACTTATAGTAAAACTCCTAACGGAGTAAATTTCACTGAAACTGATGTCCAGAAAACTGCCAAAAAGACAACATAAAACCAAGTTCTTGTAAGCAAAGCCACGCAAATAAAAATAAGCATAAAAAGGAAAAAGATTTAGGGATCAATTCATAGACAAAAATTGTCCTCTAGCTCTCAGAACACTAGAAATGGTGTTTCAGAGCATCAAGATTTCAAACTTTTCCTGAGGAAAATGCACCCAGATCCCCTTGGTGGCTCACCCCTTTGGTGCTTGCATGATTCCTCAGTGATTTAAAAATACCCCGATTTTACATAATTAAAAGGTTGGACAGTCTGTATTGTTGTTGTTGTTTGTTGGGACAAGTACGTGTAAATGTAGTTTGTAATTTGATGGCACCCTTAGGGGATCTCAGAGTTTTCAGAAACCACCTCACTCATCTGTCTTTTTCATTTCAGCTCTTTGTATCTTATTGATTCACTTTCTGCTGAAGACTAAATTCCATTACCTTCCTGAGAGTGTAGCAGTTGTATTTTTAGGTAGGTTCTATTAACATTTATGCAAGGGGGTGTTTATATGAGAAAACTCGCACCGGCCTGAGTTTCATACCGGGATGACTTTTTGATTTTGTATTGTGTTTACTGTTATTTTCTCTCCTTTAAGACCAACATTTGCATGATAAACTTGTCATGGTCTATGGCTCTTGACCAATCAGCTTGCGAAGAATCGCTCAGTTATTGTAAAAAATGTTATAGTTGGAGCATCAAGCATAGTGGCCCATTTTTTTCAGCATAAAGAGAATGGTGATGAAAAAAAAATCCATAACTGTATTGAGAAATTTTTACTTTTAAGTGCTTTTAGTGAGGATTAACGTATTCTAAAAGGCTTGATTGCTACTTTGATGTCTTGTTGCACCATTGCATCATTCTGTTAGGGTTCTAAGACTGGTCAATTGTCTATCCATCTTGGCTGCCAGTTTGAAATTTACAACTGATGCAATAAAATGTTGTATTTATGTCTGTGGGGATGGAAAAGGTCATGAAATACAGCCAAGATCAGTTGAGCATAATTACACTTTTCGAGCATAATTTTAGGCATAATGCTGTTGTTTTGAGGGTGATGCTCAAAAGTATAGATGTAATGCTCAAATGATTTTCGAATGTAATGTATCTAACCCTACTGTAGTGTGTTTAATAGTGTAACCTAAATGGTATTGTGTTGATTTACAGTTTTCTTCTCTTTTTTTCAGGAGCATTAGTTGGTTTGATCATAAAAGCATTGAGCCACTTTGCCCTTGGAGACTGGCGGGTTGGTATCAGTTATTGTCTGCTATCCCTTTAAGCCCCAGCATCAACATGCATCTTCTCCACACTGTTCTTTATACATTCCTTATGGTATTGCTTGAAACAATTTGTTCTAACATCACAACATTTCATCTTTGGTGATCATTTCATTAATTCTCATGACCTGTTTGTTTAAACAGGCAGTGTTATTGTTGGGAGAAACTGGATGGGGGTCACTATTGGGGCTTAAAGGGATTATACAAGAATTTTAGTTTTATCAGCTGATTTGATATCAAAATGAAATAAATTTACCTCCATAAAAAGAGGCAAAAGTTCCAAAATGGACCGTGATAGGGGCTACCACCTTCCCCCAATTTATGGAACAATTTTGCAGCCTCATCAAAACGAGGCTGCGGATGTTGAAGAATATTTTTGTCCGCAAGCTAATCTCTTGTTTTCCCTACATCATGCAAGAATTTGTCACTTGATTTAAGTCTAGTCTTTTGCTTGATCGGTGTGAAATATACTAATGTTGTTCATTAAAATGTAGTGTTATTTCTGTTTCTATTTGTAGAAAGAGGAACATTTTAATCCTACTGCCTTCTTTCTTATCTTGCTGCCACCAATAATTTTTGATTCAGGATATTCCCTCCACAAGGTGAGAGCAGAGCAGCAGAATAGGTTGTAACTTTTCCATTTTCAAACTAAAACCAGTGGCAGCCAGTGGTTGCATACTTGGGCCGTGAATGTAAGGCTGACGTCGGTACAGTCAAACCGCTGTGATAAGGAACACTGAGGAGGGCTAGTAACTTTTTACATGAGGAAGTGACCATTTTAAAATGTACACAACATTTAAAGGCGTTCTTTCCCCAGAAACAAAGCAAACTGTCTGTAATAATGAGGTTTCCACATTAATCAGGTGTTCATGAAGCAGGGTTTGACTAAAAAGAGCAGGCGTTTTCAGAGAAGATGTATTTATGTGTATAAGTGTTTCAATGGACTTGTTGTGCATGATTTTGACAGTAAACCACAGGATATCATCCAATGTTTTAAAGCTACAAATACCTTACACTGTACACGTGCAGGGGAAGGACTACTTTCAGGAATGTTTGGATGTGCATGTGTCACCACTTGGACTCTTTACATGTTGTTCAGCTATACTCAAATTCTCTCCCTATCCTAGAGTTGCTTTGTTTCAGAAGCTATTCTGGCCACCTACACTGTCCAGCCAAAAAAAAGCTTACTGAGCTGTTGGTAAAATAAGATTTGTTGATTTCTTTATTTTAGTGTCAATTCCCAGGTTCCCTAGTCCAGACTAAAATCTTCAACAAGTTGATCAATTTCCAGGAAAATGATCCCAATTCTAGTTCCAAACTCTCTATACCTTATCTCGCACTAAACTGTTTGAAATACCCTTGACAGCAGCGCATACATGTACCTATGTAGCGTATTAAAAAAGGTGTTGCGCTCCCGCAGGTGTTGTTACTGTAAAGTTATGGATTTGTATGTTGGATACCGTTTTGGATTCTAAGTTTATGCATTTTTTTTACTTTGCAGGGCAATTTCTTTGCCAACATAGGATCCATAGTAGTATTTGCTGTGTTTGGTACAGCTGTGTCTGCAATCGTTATAGGTGGTGGTATTTATTTATTGGGAAAGGTAAGGTTATAGTGTTGTATAAAACAAGTGCTGGAAATCGCCGTATGTAGGACATCGGACCTTCTGAAAATGTCTGACAAATAACAGCAACAACAACAATCTTTAATTTTCCTTGCATTTAAAGACTATCTATTTTAATGAAACTCACAAACGTCAAAAACATCCATGTATTCGTCCTAATATGCATGTATTTCTGAACCAATTTTTGTACATGTATGTCACTATAACTGCCTTTCTGCAAAAATGCCTCGATGTGAGAAGTCTGTGGCAAAGTCATGCATTTTTTGTGTGTGTTTTCAGTTTTTGCCTTCATTTTTACAGTGGGAACAAAAGCAGTTGATTGGCGAGTTTTTAAATTTTACATTGCATCCAAACATGAAAGTCAACGTCTCTTTTCAACCAGCGGGTTACGTGAACATATATGTTGATGTTTGGGCAGTTAATGTTTCATAATGAATTTTCCTTAGGTTGAAATAAAAAAATAATCTTGATCATAACTTATGCTATTAGACAGAAGAGCATTTACTGGGCAGGGGCATAACCAGCTTTTCGGCTGGTTGTAGGCCTGGCTGTCTTTCATTTCCACATATCCTAAAAATTTGACTACATGTACATTTTGTAGTACGCACTGACCTCACCAACACTTTGAGCTCTTAAGCTTTTTAGCTCACCCCAACAACGCATAATTTTTTTTCACCAGGGTGGTGTCGCATTTCAGCTTGATTTAAGAGAGAGGTAAGAAACTTTATCTACAATCCCAGACAATATAGTTTTGGTCAGTTTTCCCCGCCTTTCCCTTCCCAAAGTTGAAAATCGCCCAAGCTTTCCCAAACTGCGCTTTTTAACAACAAGGCAAGGGGGTAAGGGGACTGCACTGTGCTGCTAAAAAAAATTGGAACTGTCCATTTTATTATTTTTTTTTACCAGGGTTGTAGCATCCCTAAAGGTAATGTTACACAGGACAATTCTTAACAATGATTTTTAGCGCAATGATGTTGCGTGATGTTGCGTGCATGGACATTTTCTTTGCAATTTTTATGTTGAAAGTTTTTGAACAGACATCAAAGATTTCAGATGCCAAATCATAAATTCCACCCAAGTTGTTTTGTGGATGCGTGTGTCATAAATGTTCTGTGCAACGCCCTTTGAGAACCCTTTTTACTTCCTCTGTTGCACTAAGAATTGTCCCATATATACCTCTTATTAGCCAAGTTTTCGGTTCGTACTGTAAATTATGGACCAAGTTTTTTGCCATCGATTTATGGCCCAAGCATAAAGCTTGCAGCCCATACATCAATGGAAAAAAGTTTAAAAGTTTATTCGGTCAAAACTTGGAGCACTGTAAGTATTTGCTTGCCAATGTGATGCTGGAGTCTTTTGAAAACTAGACATTGTGTCTGGCTCGAAGTTGCTTCCATCTTTCTTTCATTGGTCATTTGTCTTTGAAAAAAACACTGAAAGTGGCCGAGGAGCTTGTCAAGATAATCGGGTGCAGATATGTTTGCAGGAATGTTTGTTCGTATTTGTCGAACGAATTGCTCATTTTCTCTTAGGCAAAACACTGCCGTTGATTTTTGTCTTCTAAACTTTGTACTGCAAGAAAATTTTCAAACACTGACTAGAATCTTCTTCTTCGATAAGATTTCGATTCAGTTTCTTCATTGCCTTCGCTCATAAATATTTCACTGTTACAATGTTGAAGAACAAAGTCAACACCCAAGTTCTCATGGTTGACAGACACCTTATAACTTTCTTTAAACCTTTTTTTAGAGATATCAAGATTTAGAGCTGTGAAATGAGCGTTTACTTTTGAGATTATGGTCCGCATTGCTAATTACGGACCGCAAATTGACCAATCGCATGGCGAAAACAGACTTAGCCATATAATAAAACATGTTACGTACAGATTTTACACGCACATTTGTGTTGCTAGTTTTTTTATAAATTGTCCTGCGTAACATCTCCTTAAACTTTAATGCCATTTTGCAACACTGACAGGAGCTGGAAATTACCATTGAGAATTGTCGTGCGTAACATCATCTTAACCTCTTGCAGAAACATGATTAGTTGTCTTTATTAAACAAGCGAAAGAAGGGATGACAAGCTGGTTGAACAGGGTTAATAGTAAGTGACTTTTTGCTTACTATATTGTTTTTTTTTTCCTTCACAGTTTTGCATTTGGTTCTCTGATCTCTGCAGTAGATCCTGTAGCAACTCTCGCCATCTTCCATGCCTTAGATGTGGATCCAACTCTCAACATGTTGGTTTTTGGTGAAAGTATTCTCAATGACGCAGTCTCCATCGTCATGACTAAGTAAGATTTGCAGGCGAGGGAACATACACGTTATTCCGAAATTGGTGCAAATTAGAAAGAAAACAAACAGAAAGAAAAGAAAAAAACTTGCACTCACACAACTCTAATGTACACCAGCATAATTTTTATAGAAAGTTTGTAGGTTGGCATGTAGAGATGGGCCAAGCAAGGGCAGACACCCGAGAAGAAAAAAAAAATAAGAGACAGCACTAATTTCATTTCTGTATTAATAATGGTAATTGAACTGAGTGGAGTGCAGTTTGGTCTGAAATCATACGCGTGATTTCAAAATCGAACGAGCGCACAGCGCGAGTTCGATTTGAAATCACAAGTATGATTTGAGACCAAAATTGCACGACACGAAGTTCAATTACCACTTTATTACATCCATTTTGAAATCGCAGAATTTAGTCAGTACTAATATTTTATTGATCAAGTAGCCGGTTTGTTAAAAAGCTGAAACAAAAAGGCTTTTACATCTCATTTTGTATTCGAAACAGAAATGATGCGATATATAGAACAAAAATGGTGCGATTTAAAACAGAAATGATGCGATTTAGAACATGAATGACGCGATTTGGAACAGATGCGATTTAGAGCAAAAAATGGTGCGATTTAGGACTAAATCACACTGCTGAGAGCCAATCAGATTGCACGGATAGCCAGTGATTTCAAAGTGGATGTAATAAAACCATTAATAGTGTTATTGAACAATTTTTTTTTCTTTTTCATAGTACTATTCTTGAAATGGGATCTGAGCAGTACGCAGACAGCAGTTCTTTTGAGACATTTTTTTCTGCTGTGGGGAATTTTTTAGTCATGTTCTCAGCTTCAGCTGCGATTGGCATTGCATTTGCTTTGATAAGTGCATTGATATCCTTTAATGAAATGGTGTTTTTTAAAACATTAATTAACATACTGATGCTCTAGAATGTCAATTTGACTCGGATTAATGTTGTGTGAGGCCTGGTGTAATGGATATTTTGTAATTATTACAAAATAATTTGTGGCAACAGATTTAATTGTTTGCTTAGGAAAATGTGCTAGTTCTGACTTCTTATGTTTTACCTGGGAACATTACACATTGTTGCATTCTCACTCAATTAATTATGTTTTATTGTACACTAGAAGGCCAGAAGGTTTTGGTATTTTTGTTTAATAATATTATACTTTTCTGTTGTTGCTGTCCTTCAGCTTCAGAGTTAACTGAAGTCCAAATCATAACCAGATGTTTATGTTTCGAGCATATTTTTCTTAACTGAATTTACCTTCTGAAGCATGTTGATTTACGTAGCACTCCTTCTCTAGAACTTGGTACCATGTTGATATTTTCATATGCTCCTTATGGTCTAGCAGAAGGTTTGAAGTTATCTGGTAAGTGTGCTAGACTGTACATTTTACTTTACTTTCATGTTTTTTTGGAAGCAAAATTAAACAAGCAAAATTAAACAGATTCACAGAAAAATGGAATCTTAAGTAGTACACAGAAATGAGAAATAACCGTATTACCTAATTCTTAATGATCTTTTTTTTAACTTTTAACAACACTGTAGTATTTTCCATGTCAGCTTGTCACAAGCCTTCAAGCAGCTTTACTCTTTTTTTATAACACGGATCATGTTTAAAGGGATATCTCACAGCTGTCCAGTTTGTTTTGTTAATATTGTCAATTAAGTGTCCTTATTTGCTGTAGAACTTAATGTTAGCAAAGAAATTACTTGTAAATGGCAAAATCATAACTTCTTGTCAAACATATTGTTGAGTTGTCTTTCTTCAAGTTCCTGGTGTCTTCTTTTCAACAGCAGTTCTAGATCGCACAAAATTCGGCTTCAATCGATTTCAAAAGTTTTGTGTATTGTTGTCATAGTGATATAGACTTTACGTAAAACTAAATTTTGAGAAACTTCAATCCAAAGTCAGTCAGTGGTGGAAATTTTATAGCAATTGGACAAGGATAAAATCACTTTCTACGTGATGGAAAAATCTTGGTATGCTCTACAAAAAACTGTATCTAAACACCTTAATTTATTGTTGGTCATGTGAGTCAATTGCTAGTGATAATCCTATTTTGATACCCAGTGGACGTTAAAAGATTCTCTTTTACAAAAGCCTAGTGATTGATTCGTAATATTTACATGTACCCATTGCAGGTATAATGGCTATTTTGTTTTGTGGCATTGTAATGTCACACTACACTCACTTCAATCTATCACCAATGACTCAAATTACAGTACAGAGTATATTCCGCACAACAGCCTTCATGGCAGGTACGTTTGTTTGTTTGTTTTCTTTTCTATTAGCAGTTAACTCCAAGTTTTTATTCTGTTCTTTAGTTGTCAGTAATAACTGTATCTCTAAATGGATTGTTCCGTGCTTGGAGTATCCAGGGGCTTGATCCACTTTTGGCAGCCAACCCCTAGATTGAACAATGCTCGCATGACTGGCACAACAGTGCAACCCAGCTATGAGCCTCCGCAAAGTCACCTGTCATATGTCCAGAACAAGGCTCCTGCCTAAGAAAATATTTTAATATTTTAAAATAAAAAGTTAGGAGCTGGAGCCACATTTCTAGGAGCCCATTGATCGATAAACTTAAATAAGTAAGCAGATGCTCGAAACTCGATTTGTTGGAGTTTCGAGTGTCCAGAAAAGTGCTTGTTTGTTTACTCTTACCAGCTGAAATTTTTTGCCTACAGTCGACGAACACACATTTGACGTTTTCATTTCAAAAGCGCATAATGAGCAGGGAATTCTGTCGTTCGTTCATTGGAAGTAGCATAGAGGCTATTGCCATAAGAATCATAAGTTAAGGTCCCTGTGTGCGCTCGTTGTTTAAAATTTTAGTCAGCCATGAGCAAGAGCCTCTGGTGACCGGGCGACCATTAGGCAGCAGCCTTGCAAATTATCAGTGGAGAAGCCAAGGGGAAGGGAGAGGGGAAGTGGGGAAAGAAAACGGGCTGAATAAACCTCTCCTAAGTGCTCCTTGGTGGAAAGAAGAATTTTATCCTGCTGCCCAGCACGTGTCCTTGAACAATCACAATCAAGGGCGGATCTAGCAGAGGGCCGAGAGGGGCGCAGCCACCCCTTTTTTCTTTGAAATTTTGTATTATTTTTATAGAATTCTCAGGAAAGTAAAAAGTATCTATATAGTGATCAAGTGTCCCGACCACCCCTATCATAATTTTCTGGATCCGCCTTGACAATGTAGTGTGTAGTGAAGTATAAATTTTAAAAAGAACAAGGTGAAGGCCAAAATTCAGCTGGTTAAAGCAAATTGGTGGTGAGATATAAGCATCTCTATGCTCGGATGCCTCTATACTTATCCTCTTAAAATTTTCCTGGATTTTAGAAGTATTTGTATGGAGTCATCCGGGGAAAATTTGCTTATATGTAACCGCCAAATTTACTCTAACCAGAACAAAAAAAGGTTTTAGGCTCTTGTTCTGAAAAGGAGTTGACTCAGTGTACGGTAGATTCTTGTAACTGTGTGTTTGACTAGAAGGTACCTTTTGGGTCTCATGAATTACTGAAGTCTGACAGACCACCCAAGCGTTTAATTTAAGTTCAATGCTGTGTTAAGCATAATTAGTATGAGTGTTTTTTCTGATCATTGCTTTAGACCTAATAAAACTCGAACTACAAGTTTTTCTTATCTTTCATCTGCATTGTAGATCTGTTTATTCTTACAGTAATTGTTAGTGTGGTTTCTGTTTTCCTAAGAAAACCAGAGTAAATTGTAAACTTAATGTTTATTAAATTTTAAAGTCTTTGCATTTTTCCCCGAAACTAAATATTTATTACTTTCTAACTATTTTTGAAAGGAAACATTTACCTTTTTCACTACTGCGCTCATTCATGGTAACTAAACTTTTTTTCTCTTTGTTCTTTCAGAGACATGTGTATTTGCTTATTTAGGAATGGCAATTTTTAGCTTCAAACATCAGTTTAGACCAGCATTTGTTATATGGACTATAGTAAGTACCTTTCCTGGTGCAAATCAAATTAGACTACAAAACAGTCGGTTTTTTCCTCAAAATCAGTAAAGAAATCGGTAACGCGTGGCGTAAGAGTCTTATGCGCGCGAATCGCGCGAGCACGGGCATGCGTCTCTCCCCAGTCTCGCTCTCTGTTTTCAGCCTCGTTCCACACTAAGTTCCACACCTTTTGTTTGACTGCTCGCGCGTACTTGAATCCGCAAAAATACGGACTGTTTTGCAGTCTGGAAAGGACCCCTTCTTCCCCCCTACACCCTCCACCCTCTTCCTTGGGGTTTGTACGAGTCATGTAACACCTTAGCCCGCGAGCGGTCATTCTTCTTTCCTCAAAGCCACGTGCAGTGAGAGAAAAATAATCTCTCCCGCTTGCTTTCGGTATCTGGTCACCTCACCACCAAACCATCTCGCCCTCCCACGAAAGCGCCACGAAGTATAGAATTTAGTTTAGCATTGTTTTCGTTACTTTATTTTCATATTTCAAAGAAATGTCGACTAGTGGTTGTGAAACGTTTCTCCCAGTTTTTTAATCTCTCAAATGTCAAAGTTTACATTCACAGAACCTATACATGTATTACTAGTATTTGCATTATCAAGAGCATAAGACGTTCGACGCAAGGATCCTCAATTAGGATCGACAGATTTGTATGTGGGTCGACTTTAAATTAGAATAAGCTTGACGAAAATCTTAAGTAACCCTAATCCTAATCCTCCATGGAGGGATCTTTTCTTCATTGATGTAAACAGCTGTAGCAATCTCTCATTAGCACCTATAGTTTCTGTTAGGTTTCCTCGCTACTTCTTTTTTCTTCTTATCCTATATTATTTGTAATTTCTATTATTGTGTGGCAAATTAATAAAAAATAAATAAATAAACAAAATACATTCTGGAAGTATTGACATCAGCAATTTGGAAGTGTATATTGAACGCATACTGGCCTTCTGCGTTGGTAGCTTATTAATAATTTTCTTAAAAATGTAAATGTTTGCTGATTTCTTTCTCTCTTTTTTGTAGATTTTGTGCTTACTTGGAAGAGCAGTAAACATATATCCATTATCTTCACTTGTAAACCAATTTAGAGATGTCAAGATTTCTAGAAAGACACAGTTTATCATGTGGTTTAGTGGTAAGTTTTTTTTACATTTCATTGTGGAAGGAAATCTTTTTTGGGGAGCAGTGTAGAGCTCCTTTATGGTCGACTCGCCCGAAACCAGAGTTATTTCGCCCGAAATTTTTAGTCAAGACGGCCAAATGCTGACTTATTTCGCGCGAAAAATTATGATGCTCAACAACGTCCCAACATGCTTGTTACACATTTATCGTTCTTGTTTCGTCTCATTGAAGTTTAATGAACGAGATATATTTTACATTTTAATTGGCCATTTCGGAGTTGCGCAGGGAACTGAGGCGGGTTTCAAACTAAAACTAATCGATAAATTGACACCACCATATAAAAGGTCATGTTGAGATTGGTCATTTGACCAGGTTTGGTGATCTAAGGTTGAACAGGGATCAAGTTATGACTCTTGAAACATGGTTAAAGTTCCATACAAATGTCTGTATTTTGTGACAGCGTCCCCCAAAACCATATAAACTTTTAATTTTTTTAACGATTTCTGTGATATTCTTGAAAATGGGCAAACATAGTGATTTTCTAATTAATTCCTGCCAAGTAGTAGATGCATGACGAATTTTACAGTTTAACAAAAAAAGTGAAAAATATTTTAAATAGTTTATAAGGTTTGGGGGACGCTGACACAAAATTACAAACGTTACTATGGATCTTTAACACGTTTCAAGAGTCATAACTTGATCCCTCTTCAACTTTAGAGCACCAAACGTGGTCAAATAACCAATCTCAACATGACCTTTATATGGTGGTGTCAGTTTATCGATTAGTTCAAATTTGAAACTCGCCCCAGTTTCCTACGCAACTCCCAAATGGCCAATATCCCGCTTGTTTCGTCTCATCATTGTTTGAAGAACGAGATATATCACACACACTCTTTACTTAAATTTATTTCTCTGTGTAGTACACCAGATACAAATTTCCGGCGACATAACTCAGCATTCGAGTGAGATAACTTTTGGGCGACTTGACTGGTCTCTTTGGCATTAACCAGGCTTCAGGTGGTATTAAAACAATCCAGGAGAATCTAAGATAATCGTTATTGAATAAGTACAAGAAAACAATTTGTGCTTTTTCGCGTGCGCTGTTGAGCGATTACCCCGATACCGGCAGCCTAAATTTCATGGACATCGCGAGGAGCTCTCAGAGTGCTAGTGTTATTGGCGAACGTTTGTCGAACCAAGATCGAAGGAGAAGGATAATTTTCCCTACAAATGCCTACGGCAAACGGCCTCGACGGATAACACCCCCTCTGTCTCCATAATTCTTCAGATCATTCTCAGCCTTAGGCCTAGGCCAAACGTCGAACTTTTCATGAGACCAACTAAACTCTAATTTAAGTTTCCTAAATTAAGTGTTGATCGTCTGTTGGGTCAGACGTGGTATTTAGGACGTGTCGAACCAATCAACTGGATCAGAACAAAAAGCAAATTCAAGAAAGTGTCTCCCGAACGAGGCTTAATAGCCATTATCATAAAAATTTTAAGTTTATCAGTTTAGTTTGTCGTATTTGAAGATCGACGTTAGTCCCGGAGACGATTTCCAGACGTTGTATCCAGACGTTTAGAACGTGTTGGACGACCCAATTTCATTTAGGCGAACTTAACTGATCAAGACGTCAACTTTTCATGACCTTAACTGTCTTAGTTTGGTTCGTCTCATGAAAACTTCGACGTTTGGCCAAGGCCACAGGTCACCTCCGCACGAAGCCGGATGTTTTTGAAACCACATACTTTTTTTTTTACAAGAATCGGCCTTCCTCCCACACGAAAAAAGTTGAATCCGGTTCCCGAAACCGCTTTGTTTTGAAACCGCTCTCCAGAGTGGTTTATACCCCGTCCACACGAATCTGAATAATACATATGCGGTTTTGAAAATTTCCGGATTCGTGTGAACTTGGCCTTGTTCAGTAATTGCTTAAAAACAGGGCTGCTCATGGTCAATCAGATTAGAGAATTTTGTTTTAGTAATGAATGGACATTAGTAATGGACATTTTTAGAACCAGAATACACCTGATATTAAAGCAGCTGTGTCACGAAATTGATTAAAATTCAAACAGTGGGCTGGGTAACTGCCCACCTACTCCTCCCCTAAGTCAACATTAACACTTACTTCTCACTTAGGGCAAAATTATGACTTAGGGGAGGGGAAGGTGGTCGGTTACCCAGAAATAACTGCTCAAAACGTCAAAAGAAGGTATTACTAACACAGAAAAATACAAAAGGTGAAACGGATTGCAGTTGTGGTTTTTGACAACTTGTTAGCCTAAGAGTTTTTCAAAGTTTATTTTTGCTGATTGTAACGTACGATATAATCCTGGTGAGGCATGTTTATTTGACAGTAAGCTCGATTTTGTCATTCACAAGTATTTTTTTTTAAGTTTCATAACGAATGATGACCAAGGCTGCTGCCTAACGGGCGCCCGGTCGCCAGAGGCGCCCAAGGTAAGAGCATGGGCGACCAAATTTCGGTACAAGGAGCCCGCGCGGGCGCCTGACTTAACACACGGCATTAGACTTAACCTCCTTGTACATTATATTCCTTTAGCTGGAGTAGGACTTTAAACAGTGGAACTGTTGATATGGTTAGCGATGATGCGATTAGGCAGTATAAAATTTCCACAAATAAACCGTAAATTATGTAAACCTAACGTGTTCAACTGTGAAGCTTTGTCGAAACGAACGAAGCCATCGTTTCCGAGTCCGGATGGCAGTTGAAGACTGGGTCTGAGATTTGACTTCCAAATATGGAATAGCAAAATTATGGGCTGTTTGTTGCCTATGTTGACATTCGTGCAGTTCATCGTTTGCTTGGGTTTTCGTCGATTTGATAACTTTTTTGTGGCGAGAATGGGAAGCTATCTTGCGTGCTATCGACTGGACGTGCTTGATGTTCGATTTCATGTACCAGTTTGCAACGTATCAGCATTTTCAAGAGACTTTAAAAAACAACACGCCAGAGAACGCAGTATGATATTTCATATTTGTAATGTGATGTCTTTACCTTGAATAAAGAAATTAAAGTAATGATCAACTTTGTGTTGGTTGTATTTCTGCCTTGCTGCACGTGCATGACGTGGCATGACATGGCAGGAAATAATCACATTCACGGACAAAGAAACTTGCATGCATGCATGTAGTTATTCAGATACAGCCATTTCGGAGAAAACCAAAAAAACTAAAATCTTTATTCAGCCGTAATAAACAGAGGTCAAAGGATATAAAACACTTTACAACTGCATCTGAAATCAAAGCCTATCAGGGACACCTACCGAAGCATAAACCACAGGAAATGATTACTCAGTATGCATGTAACAAACCTGCTTCATGACCTCTAAATATAAGATTTATAGTGCGGCAAAAACAAGATTTACTCAGTCAAAGTTTAGAATGCTACACCTCTTGCACTGTGTAGTGCTAGTAACCTTCGCGCGAGAGAAAAAAGCAAGAGAACCACTGTTCAAGCAGACTCTCAAGGTCACGTTTCACATTATCACGAGCTTATGAGTCGTGTTTGGCCTGTCAACGCTTATTTCTTACCGCAAATTAAGCCCCTCAAATATTTTTCCGGCTCATGAATGTGTATAAGAAAGGTAAGAAGCAGTTTAATTGTTACATTTTAGAAAATTCTTTGAAGGCTCTTCTAGGTCACATTGAACACAACAGATGTGGAAGTTAATTGAATAAATTAATAAATGAAAGTAAATAATTCGGTTAATTCTTGTTTACGTGTTATTTATTAGGCCCGGCGAATTCTTATTAAAGTGTGCAAGAACCTCTATAACCTATGTAATGATCTTGGAAAAACAATACATGGATTTCAAACTGGGCTCCTAACAATGTGGCTCGGGCTCCTAACTTTAAACTTTAGGAGCCCGAAGGGCTCCCTAAAATTTTTCTTAGGCAGCAGCCTTGATGACTCACAACTAGCGTTTTAAACAAAGTGAACTAGCCATCCACAGGGATGTCACGTAATATATCAAGTACTAGACGCAGTGCTTCATCTGTGAAAAGAAAGTTGAAAATAAGACGCGCAGCGGAGTATTTTTGACGCACTTCGAGGTGTTTCATCTGGTTATGAAACACTGTGTCGAATGTTTGATGTTACTTCTCAAACAAAATGATTTTAGAAAATAAATTTAGGATGCCAAAATGAGCAGTTTTTCATCTGATATCCAAACACTCATTAAACATCAATTTCCTTTGTATTTTCTTTATGAATTATTGATGAGCGTGAGAATAAGATTACAAGTTGCCGCGTAAATACAAAAAGTAGGCGGAGAATCAAACACCTAGGAGTTTCTTTTGGCTCTATTTCTCCTATATTTTCCAATGAAAGTAGCCGGGGCCACATTTATAGTAGCCAGGGAAAAAACCCCTGGCCCACAGCCTTGTCATCCTTGAAACAGCCCCTTTTAAGTGTTGTCTGTTTGTTTGTTTGTCTTCTCAGGGTTACGTGGTGCCGTGGCCTTCGCCCTTGTACTTCATCTTCAACTGGATGACGAAAAGCGACATGTTCTTATCACATCTACGCTCATTATAATCATGTTCACAATTCTCTGTTTAGGTGGATCAACTCTTCCCTTGTTGAAGGTGACTTGCGCTTCTTGACGTTGCACCGATGTACACCTTTTTCAAATTTTTATTGTCCTCACTGAACTTAACAACGGCGGTAATGTTTGTATATCAGAACTATAAAATGCACTTTCATGTAATTGTCTGTCTATACGTGCTATGTGAATATTTATCGTCTTGCAAAAGTGCTTAATGAATGTGTAAAGACGAAATTGAATGTCGATTCAACAAAATTAATCAATGAGTTTTCACGGAAATGAAACTGATAACTGCGTTATTGAAAGTTTTTTTTTTCTGGTAATGACTAGCAAATAGTGTAGACTTACGAGCGTGAAAATCGGCTTACTCTAAAACTTTGTCTCAAAAGATTTTGGTGGTGGGATCGATATTCCCCTGAATTCTCATATTTATCATTTAATTTTCCTGACCAAAACGGTTGATTTTCAAGCAAAAACTCAAGGAAAAGTGCGCTAGATTGGATTTCTACGACTCCCAAGCTCTCAGACAAAGCTGTAAATAAGATTGAATCTCGGAAAACCCTAGCCTCGTTCCCAGTCGTCCTCGGCGATTTCAGATGTGACGTCACCTGTTAAGCTTGTCGGGAAACTCGCGCTTTGTTCCTAGCCTCCTCTGGTCACTCGGATTGCGCGAACTGGCCTGGGTACGAGGCTGGGAAAACCGAAATGTGAGCAATGTAAGGGTCTAGGGGTTTGCGATGACGGAACCGCCAGAAATCTTAAATATGAAAATTGTTATACAAGTTAAGCGAAGGAGACACTCAAGTTTAGGGAGTATATAGATATTAGGCTGGCTCCAGTTGTTCAAAAGCTGGATAGCGCTATCCACCGGATAAATCACTATCCAACGGGAAAGTATTAGGAAAACCAATCGCGCTATCCAGTGAATAGAGATTTATCCCGTGGATAGCGTTATCCACCTTTTGAACAACCGGGGCCTGATCGTTAAGCCTGATTCGGGAATAGTGATCTAAGATCTCGGTATTTGTTTTAGTGCGCTCTTGCTTTGAAGTCGCTGCTTGGAAATTTGAAAAATTGCAAAATAGCTTTCGCTATTTGCGAGCGGAGATGGCAAAATGATGAGTATGAAAATAAAGTATAGTGTGTGAGAGAGTCTTGAACCATCTTTTCCCTGTTTTGAAATGGTGCAACTCGCTTATGTGGCGGTTATTTCTGAGGGCACCCACTTCACTCTGCCTCTTTCTTTGTGTCTCTAATGGCTGAAGTTTGCGAATGTTATGTCTTTTGCAGTTACTTAAAGCAGAACAAGGAATGGAGAAAGGCTTAACACTTAGTAAAACACAAACTGAGGTATGTTTCTAAAACAGTCAATTATGTCTCCAGTAACATGGGAAAGGGCATCATTTACTTTTTTGCGTTTGGAAGTCAGAGAGTTTTGGTTTGCAGGGAATAGGGAATTTGTTATGCTTAGATTTTTGGATTTCCGTACTTAAAAACATTGCCCTGGTTGATTTTCACTCCGCAGGGTAAAGCGGTAGATGCAGACCAACTGACTGACGATGAGTGGAGGATAAGCAGTAGGAAGGCTCTTAAGGGATTCACACGGCTTGACGCTAGATATTTTATTCCATTCTTTACAAGGAAGTTCACCAGACAGGTACGTAAAAATAATGTTATCAGTTTCGAACCCAGGCCTTATAGCCGTGTGCTTGGTACAGCGATGTCAGTTCTATGATCATCGGTTTATCAATAATTGGTTGCTCTTACTCAAAAACCAGTTTGACGAAAGAAAACGAGATTGACCAGTTCAGAAGTTTGGGCTGCGGCGACGTCAGTTGTTTGGCGCGATTCAAGCAGAGCCTCCTTTTCTCCTCCTCGATCAGGGAAACTGCCCACCCACCCACCCCACCCCTAACCCATGTTTCTCACTGACTTGTGACTAAACCTGGTTAGGGATGGGGTGGGTGGGCAATTTCCCAGAAACCTAATCTGATACAAGGAGGCTCTACTCGCAGGGTGAAACAGCACCAGTGTGCAATAGTTTGTTTGTTTGTGTTTTTTGCAATTCTGTCACAAAAAATGGCGAGGTAAGTTGCAAGAAAACGTCTATCGCAACATCGCCATCGCAAGCCTTTTAACTCCTTTGTTCATTCTGCAGGAGGTACGTAATGCGCATGAGGAGATGCAGAGACTTACCAGTCAGTTATATAGTGAAGTACACAGTGACCTTGCATCAGACGATGATGAAGCAGAAAGCAAACTTTGAGTCGCTTTCTTCGTAATTAAGTTAGAGTAAAAGAGAATAATTGGACAGAGAGGGAATCTTAAGGCGTTGGCCGAGATATGTGAATTTCACTGAAGTTAGTTTTGGAGGTTGAAACTAAACGGAAGGCTAATTCCTGAGACGTCCGCATGTATTAATCGATTATTTGAAACGTCATCAAGTTTACGCGCGACTGCCTCGAAGCAAACACTGCAGAATATTGTAATGGCGACTGTTGAATTTTCTCTTCAACACAATGAATAAAAGTTTGCGGACCTCTCTGGAAACCAGCTTCCGATGAATTGAAATCGTTTAATTGGTCTAAAAATAACTTTGGTGAAATTCACATGTCCTAAGAACGAGACTGGGCATTTCCATCTCTGTTCCATTATTCTCTCTTGGTTAAGGAGCTTTTTAAATACGTTTCTTAAAGGAATAGTGGGGAAAATTTGATAAAATTAGAGAATTTATCCTGGCTGATCATATCCTTATTTCTCATGACCTCGCTGATTGTTTAAGCATTGACGCTATGAGGAGAAATGAAGAAATAATCACTATTGGGGCTTACAGGGTTAGGTCAATTTTTTGTCCAGCAGGGGTAGTAGAAACGTTCTTGGTAAATCTCAATTATAATAAATATTAAGGAACGCGTCAAACTCTTTACTCAATTATCACTTACGTTCGGCTTCTGTGAAGTACGGCGTTTGAACCAGTTACGTTCAGCTGATTGGTTCGGCTTAGCCTACCCTGCAAGCAGGGGCCCTTCGATCTTCCTAGTTACAGTCAAACTTCTTTAATACGGACACCAAAGGGACAGAACCAAGTGTCCGCTTTACAGAGGTGTCCGTATTATAGTGGTAGGGAATGTATGATTTTTGGCATTTCTGGGACCAAACGAACTGTCCCTAATAGAGAGGTGTCCGTATTATAGAGGTGTCTGTAAGGAGAGGTTAGACTGTATGTATATCCAGGAAGATCGAAGGGCCGCACTTCAGATAAGACGAACTCTACTGAATTTGTCTTCCAAAGCCAATTAGAACTTTTTTAAAGTTTGGCTTAATTAAATTCGACTGTTTGACACAACGTCAGAACTTAACTAGGTCGACCCAAAATGTTATCAAGTTCGGCTCATGTGAAGCACGGCGTCTGACCAGGGTCTCATTATCAATAGCCCGTGAAGGGTGAAACCAAAAATTAGTTATGATTGAGGAAGACTAAACTGTCTAAAACGGTAACAAATTAGACGTTATTTAAAACTGCCACAGTGTATAAACTTGCCGCAGTTAGTGTAAGATAGTATAAATACGTTTATCTGTTTGTGTAATGTAGCTGTGTGTTTGCTTTGGTAATGCGTGACTATGCCATGATTGGCTTTAAAAATCTCTTGCTATTTTTTAACCAATCAGAAGTTTAGTAGAATCAGTAGGTTTTTCCCATGCTTTTTGAGTCTTTCATTTACAAATGACCGGGTGGGGTGGGGGTTATTTATTTATTTTTTTCGGTAGCCCTTCAAAGGTAAGAGTGAAGTCAGAGGGTAGACTGTGAGTTTTTTTTGCTCACTTAAGGGCGGCGAGGCGGGTGGGGTATAGAAACTGTTTTGAGGCTCAGGAAATTAGCCTCCCCGAGACGTTCTTGTGGCCCTTCACGCAATCCTCCCGAACGCGTGACAAACCGCTAAGAATGCCTGCGTGGGAGGCTAGGACAAAACGCGCGTGAAATTTTTCCCCTATTAATATCATGGGTGAACAAATAACGCTCAAAATCGTGTTTTTACTTGTTTATCGTATCCAGAACTCCACGCACTGAAAAGTTTGGGGCGTAAATTTTGGCATAAGTTTTATTTTTCGACAAAGTACCTGTTAGAATCCTTCTAGATGTGCTCTTTCCGCGTGTTAAGGTTTCTTAAATCGTCTTTTAATGTCCTGACATCTTCATTTATAACACTTTAAAACTTCGACGCCCTCTTTGCACGGAGACGTACGGAATGTTGCCATGGCAATTTTGTAATTTCACATGTGAATTTATAAGTCAACGCTGAAATTTCGCGCTAAATTTTAGGGTAATTTGTCACCCATGATATTATAAATAAAATCCCTGTATGCCTGCTGTCTTTACCGGTGGTAATTGGCATTAGAAGTTACTTTTTGGACACCCTTGTGAATACTGATTTATTATTTATATTGTTTACATGTTTATGGTACTTTTTTATTTTTATTGGGCGTAAACTCACAACTTACTTGTATAAATGTACAGTTCACAATATACTTTGAACTTTTGAAACTCTCGATAACAAGACGAAAAGCTTAATTGTTAACGGTTTACTTTGAGAATAATATGAATTTACATATCCTTGGTATTACCTAAATTAAATTTATTTATCTGAGAATTTAAGTATCAGATCTTCCTTCGGGGCCAGGGGGAAGATAATTTTAAAGGAATTAACCTTTTCATCCAGGCGTTCGGATAGTAGAGTGCGGCGCGAAGTAAGAGAGCGAGAAAAAATAAGGAGGAAGAGGAGCAGAGGAGGGAACCCTGGAGGGTTCCCCCGCTCTCACCTCGCTGTTTTTTTTTTCTGGTCACATCTCTTAGGGCCGTCCCCTTGGTCTTAACGTCTGGAACAGGCTATAAAGGAAGAAGCATTGAAGGGGGAGGGGGTGGGGAGTTGAGCGGAGAGAGAGAGAAAGAGGGAAGAAGTTTCTCTCCCCCTGCTTCTCCCGATCTCTTTCCCTTTCTCCAAGTAACGCTTTATAGGCAGGCTATATATGTATCGACCCACAACGCGATTTTGTCTTGTGTTAACTACGTTCTAACACCACTTTTGTAACGATGCAGGAGGCCATTCAGGTGTAATGCAAACTCGAATAAAAGGTTAGAAGCAAAATTTTCCAGTCGAAATTGAACACTTTACAAATCTTAATTAGTTGGAGCAAGCGGGCTGGATTTTTGTAAGAGAGGCTGAAAAATTGAACCCGGGATTTCCAAGAAACAAATCCAGCCAGCGGTCAGTGGGGGAAGCAGTAGGGAGCTTTAGCAACGACGACGGCCACGGCAAGCAAGACGTCAAAAAGGCAATAGGTTTGATGAGCAAAACAACAACTCTGCACGTGCATCACGCTTTTTTATACATTTCTTGGCTGTCACTGCACAACTACGACGTCAAATGACCAAATCTTAAGTTTACTTGAGAACGGGAACGGCAAGGCGAAGAATTCTACCATTTGTCTGAACTCGGGAGCGGTCCCCTCTTTTCAGTTCCAACCAAAATTCCCTTCTTTTAAGGAAGGCGAATTGGGATAATCGAGAAAAAGTTTAAAAGGATGCGAAGTCTATTTTTCAGCGTCGTTTTTTATGGACATCCCCGTTGTCGGATCTTAAGGTCGCTAGTACCTCCCGATTACGAGCCAGCCTCCAGTCCCATATAAAACGCTGGCTCAATATATTACACTCCCTCCCCCCCCCCCCCCTCCCCTCCCTACCCTTCCAGACCTCTCAGTGCCGAAGAATGTCCTTGATATACTCAGACGATTTTTACGGGTCCTCGATAGGTGTTTTAGGCATTGGTATTTCCCATGTTCGAAACTCGGGATTCTCGAGATTTGAAAGCAAAATCAGGGAGGGATTCGGGTTTCTCCCGCATGGGAGGCGGGATGCCAAAAATGATCGTCGGAATTATACGGGATTGCACGAAAATTAAGTTCGGGATGACGGGATTGCAGAACCCTTTACTATTGCATTGGGGGCCCTCATTTATTGAATTATAGTCGTTGATTAATTTTTTCACACTAGCTAGAACCAAGAGAAAATCTCTTGCTAAAACAGACTTCCTGAAGGAGAAAAACTGAATAAAGCCTAAGTTCGTGAATGGAGCGTGAAACGCACCATGCAAATTTAGAAATGAGACGTCTATCGCCTTGGCTTAACACACTGGAATGCTGGTTGCAATATTCAAGAAATTGGTTAGAATTAGAAAATCACCAAACTGTCGACACAGAGGTATCAGATACATTTATAGGCGAATTAATGAAACTATATATGAGAAATTCCGCTCTATGAAGTGACCTCGATCAGCTGTTTCCGCTTATCAGTAAGTGATGGTCAATCTATACTTTTTGCCTCGGTTTATACTCTGCAGTACCCTGGATCCAGAGGTCGCTCGGTTCTCAAAATACCTAATATGATATAAACCGTGCATACGGTTTGATAAGGCTCCCGAGACAGAGAAATTTTTTTCTCTCGGCGCTTTGCGCCTCGTTGACGCGGCTTTGCCGCGAACCATCAATATCGTTAAGAAAAAAATATCCTCTGGAACCCAGGGTAATTCTGCAGTTTACTTTAGGATATATATCTTTTTTGATTCGTAATCAGAAACTAAAACCGGGCCATCCGGTGTTCTAGCTATTGCAATGGGATCTTGAAGCTTGGTGGCAGTTTTTCCCGTGAAAAAGCCGTCCATTGTTAACTGCACAATCCGCCCATTACCACTGTCACAAACAAGGATATTGTAATGATTTCCCTGTTTATCGAGGCATAATCCTTGGGGCCAGTTGAAGTGACCAACCCCTTGTCCCTGCTCTCCAATTCTACCCAGAAATTTCCCTGAATGGTCGAAGATTTTTAAGCAATGGTTCCATGTATCTGATACAATAAATCTTTTGTTGTGGAAGACACAACCACTTGGACGGTTGAGTTTTCCTGAGCCGCGGTCACCGAATATAAACAGGGGCTCACCATCCACTGTAAATACCTGCATTCGATTGTTGAAGCAGTCAGCTATAGCCACCCGACCCTCGTCATCCACACAAACGCTTTCTGGGTTATGCAAATCGCCTATTTCTTTGCCGTACCTTCCAAAACTTAACTCGCAGGACCCTGTATACACATTGAAAAGTTGGACGCGGTGATTGAGGTAATCTGTCACAAGGATTTTGTCGTCGTTGAAAAATGTCACGCCAGCTGGAGCATGAAGCTCACCGCGATTCTTCCCTTTACGGCCAAATTTTCGCAAGAACTGTCCTTTATTGTCAAAGACCAGGATACAGTGCCCATCAAAGTCAGCCACAGCAACAAGCCCGTCCCTGCTCACAGCGATTCGAAATGGCCCTTGAAGGTCCTCGAGTTGTTTTAAATCGAATTCTCCCAGCATATGGAACTTTCTATCCCTAACAGGGACTGTAAAAGGGCTGTCTGGCAGCACTTTTCCATTTATCTTGACGCTGACGTTGTAAACGCCCGATACTTTGGGCGTAAACCTGACCACAAACCTTGTTCCATCTTCGCATCCACGGGTCATCAAACTTCCCACTAGCTCAGCGGGTTCTACGATCACTTCCGCTTGGAATTTTTTATCTTTATCTTGAACGTCAATATTCACTTTTGGGCATATAACAATTGATGACTCTAGACCAGCCTGGAAGTCTTGAGTCAGCCCATGTACAATTGGTTCGATGATACCCAGGGTTAAATTCTCAGGCGTACAGGTGGGAACAAACTTCACATATGGACTAACTTGAACTGATGGAACTTGAGTCTTGTTGAGATCTGCAAATCGTTGTTGTAAATATGGCTTGTTTTCCATGATAACTGAACTTGAGCTTCTTTGTACCAGATTGTCAGCAAATTCTACTGCATGATTAATTTGCTTGGCCAATGACTGCACTTCGGTCTTCACCGAGTTTAATTTCTCCGTTCTGAACACGCGCGTGTCTTCGAGGGCAGTGATGGCATCGCGTTCGCGTTCTCTTATCTTCGCAATCATCTGTTCTGCCGCGTGGGAAACTTCACGTTTTGCAGCGGTCACGTTCCTTTCCAGATCAATAACTGTTTGCTCAAACTGTCGAATCACATCACGACAAACTTGACTTTTCTGTTTCATCAAATCTACAACAGTCATGATTTTCCCTTTTTCAGCATCTGCTGTCTTGTCGAGGGGTTCCACTCGATGATCCCTGTGATCAGTGATCACGCATACCTGACACACACACGACTGGCACGCGAGGCAGAAAAACCTCGTCACTTCTCGCTCGTGGTACGGTTCGTGGCAAAACGATTTTCGTCTTAACAAGGCCTCGTAGTCGTCGGTCTTGAAGTTTCTTATCGGTCTGACTTTGTGTCCGTCAAACGCGACATTTCGTAGAAGTTCGTGCGCGTTGACGCAGTCCGGACACATAAATCGGCCACACTCAAAGCAAAAACTTGTCTCCGCGCTCTTTTTTTGGCAGCTGCTGCAACTAATCTCGCGTCCATCGCCGCTCTGCTGCACGGTGAGAAGACCAAGTAAACTATTCTGGAGGAAACCAGTGGGAAATTTGTCAAAGCTAAGTCCTTCTGGGACTGCGACTTCTGCCTGACACTCGGGGCAGCGAAATTTCCCATCTCGAGAGCTCGTTTGAGCGTGTTTTTCCAAACATTTGAGGCAGAACGTATGGAGACAGGCTATTGTCTTAGGTTCTGTGAACGTATCCAAACAAATCGAGCACGTTACGTGCTTCTGAAGATTTTTCAATAGAGACTCCATAGCAAAATCATTTGTGTGTGTCAGTACGACAGTAATCGAAATCCATATCACGTGGCTAGAGGAGGAGAAGAGGGGAGGGAAAAAGGGAGAGGGGGCTGGGGAGAAAAGGAAAGCGCCCTTCCCCTTTCCAATTCCCTTTCGTGCTTTTCTCCCCTCCCCTCCCATCCACCTCCCTTTTTTCGCCTACGACGCAAGCTTAAAGTCGACATGAGTGAGTTCACGCAACAGGACGGCAGAGGACGGCAAAACGCTTGTGTGTGACACACGTGACAGGGCTATTACTTGCATGCTTTGTTGTAATCTTCACTAATAATGTATTTTGGTTGTTTTTAAAGGAAGGGGAATTTTGAGGCAAATTTTCCTTATTCAAACAAAATTTGTATTGTCACTCTTGCCACACAAGGTTTGCCGTCTTCTTTGCTCTCCCATCCTTTTGCGTAAGTTCACTATAAACCATACCTAATCTTAGTTTGACAGCGATACAGACGGCTAACTTCTGCTGACAGCTAACCTGCCTCGTGCGTTATGTAAAGATTTTGAAAAAGTTTTCCTAAGGGTAGATTTCCACTGTCGCATAATTTTTACGTGCTTACGAGAGTTAGATTTACGTGCGTAAAAAACAGCTTTAGGCATTATATGAAAGATCGCTCGTAAACGTAAAAGTTGTGCGATACGATGTTCAACTTTTATATCGTTTAGGTTTCCAGATTTATTGCCTCTATTTTATTCACGCACGTAAACTTTACGGCAACATGATAGAGGCACTGTCTGATATAGGTCGCGCTTAAACGTATTGGTTAAAGTTGAACCTCGCACATCAACTTTTTGACACGCGACCTTTCCTGATCATTGAACAAACTCGTCCTCTGGGCTTTTCCCGCCGCACCCTCCCATTTTGAGACTTTTCTAAAGACAGTGATTGTACAGTTGAAGCTCTCCTTGCGACTACTCTAGTAAGCGACCAGCTCTAGTTACGATCATCTTTGTGAAACCCCGTTTGAACTGTGACTTAAGGTAGATTTCCACTGCCGCGTAATATTTACGTGCGTCAATCTTGACCCCAGTGCTCACTCTTCTGACTCGGCGCGTTCTCTCCTAGACATGCACAGAAGAGCTCTGGGTCGAGATTGGCATGGTCACGCATAAACGTAATAGTTGAAACTCGCTCAACTTTAACGTTTTTTACGTGGCCTTTAATTGGGAAGGACGCCTCTCCAATTTTTTTTTAAGGGGAAAGGTGGACACTCTGATTCCACTGAAGGATATTATATTATGTAATTCAGTTTTTCTGGATTTTGCAAAGTAAAAGCAGTGAAAAATAAATCTTTCTTCTCGTCCTTAGCACTGTTCTTGATATTTTGGCAAATTTCAGGCTGAACGTTCTATAAGAAACGTTCTTATAAAAAATAGAGTGGATTGAATTGAAGATCTTGAAGTTTACAATGCAATAAGAGAGAAATTATTTCTACGAATACAAATTTTCTTACAAACACGAAACTAAATAAAGTTAAAAAGACACAACGCTTGAAGTGCTCCGTACGAATGCGTGGTAGTATGTAATCATGGCCACGTTGACGTAATGATCTATCCTTAAGTTTAATTACTTGGCAGAAGATCTTTCAAACACTGAGTATCCGTAATTTTTCCCCATAGTTCTTTATCCCTATCTCGAATCACGTCACTGATATATTGGGCTTTGCCACAGGCAGCCCAATGATAAGAGTCTCATTTCCAGGGTTCTCTCCTACTCGCTGACAAGTAGGAGAGAAAACTGGAGGTATGGGTGTCCTTAGAGGAAAATTCTCAAGTATCTGAGCAAGTTTCTTTTGAGGAGTGAAAAACGAAGAAGTTTTTTCTTGACAAAGCTGAAGTGTGCAAAATGCAATTCATGCGTGGTTTCAAAACAGCAACAAAACAAGTAAAAAAAAAAAAGTCATCATGGAGCAGTTCCGTGACGGGCGCTTATAAACGAACGGCGCAAGAAAAAATTCTGGTGACCCGTAGGGATTTTTCTACTAATAGGTGACTCAGATTTGGTGGTCGCCCCAAAACTAAATCTTCTTATACAATTCCAGTACATATATGAGTTACAATGCGTAGACCTAAGAAACCGCTGACCGATTGCGTTTTATTGTGCAATGCATGTGGTTACAACCGAAAGGTGTAATTTAAGCCTTGTCCATGATAAATTTCGATTTATGAGAAAAGTATCTGGTGTTGCGAACAGTATTCAAGGTTAGTGAAAAACTCAAATTTTCTCCAATGGCAGTTAGAGCGCAATTTGAAAACAGTAACGAAGTTGGAGTGTTCGCTGTACTAACAAATGCATACTGCCTCGTGGGAATCGGTGCTGCACAGAACTTCTACAGGTGAGGTTTTGTTTTAGCCTTGGAACCGAAAGCTACATATATGTTGTACATTTTAAGCCGTCTTTGCGTTATAATGTAAAATCTGCAATCAATATTGTAGAGATAAAATTTTAAAAAAATTGACTCGAACACCACCAATATCGTTATTAATGTTAATTAGCTTAAACTTCGTGCTGGAACTGTAAGCTTTTGATAAAAGTCTAACACATGACTGAAACGCAAAGTAGTGTTTCGAAGTTGTTATTACTTGGTGATCAAATAAATGGCTAAAAATGACCCCTGAGGAAGAACTCTTATCTGAACTTCCTATACCTGCCAACTTTTTCTGAGATATAAGCGGGAGATTTTTATCCTGGGAGTGCTGGGATTTTTCAAGACGACACGATCATTTCCGAAGATTCCCGAAGAAGTCTGAGGTCTTCCAAAGAAGTCTGAAGTCTTCCGGAGACGTCCGAAGTCTTAGGACGCATATAAAGGCGAGCTCACTCCCAGTGCTTTTCACTTCAAAAATCAGGGATCGCGAGGAAGGTATTGTCATTTATTCATTTTACACATGGTTTTCGTTCCTTACATGGGTCTGAGTTAACATATTTTTGGAAATTGTGTCAAGCAAGACGGCAACAACTCACATTTTTCAATCAGGCGTGAGAAATTGGCCCACAAGCGTGAGCTGGCGTGAGATCGAAGTTTTCAACCTGCAGGCATGAGACTCGCGCCTAAGGCGTGAGAGTTGGCAGGTATAACTTCCCCTTCCACCCAGAGACCCAGAGCTGTCTACCCCACATCCCATGGGAATTTCGGTAAAATTGAAAAACAGCTCCCCCAGAAATCAGTTGGTTGACAAATGGCCAACAGTCTGTTGAAAAATGGCCAACAGTTCTTGCGATTTAACCAACTACCTCGCTTAAGTGGAAGGTGGGTGCCTGGGATACCCAGGGGCTGCCATCGTGGCCAGCCAGCCCCTTGATAGAAAACTGCCCCGATGGCTGGCAAATCCCCGCAACCCAGCAATGAGCCCCCATTCCAGGCACCTGTCACACTGATGAAACAGTGGAAGGAAGAAAAATAGGGATGGGAGGGGGGGAAGACGCTAAATGAACCGCTCCACAGACCACTGCACAAATGCTCGACGAAGAACTCGCAGATCCTAGCCGTGTACAAAGCTACCACAAACCATGTGAGCGTGCACTTATGGGATTGACCGCTGGATGCCTGCTAAGCTCGTGGGCGGTTTGACTGCTAAGCTTGTGCACCGCTTGACTGCTTAACTTGTGGACTGCTTTACTGCTAAGCTTGTGAACCACTTGACCTCTAAGATTGTGAACCACTTGACTGCTAAGCTTATGAACCGCTTGACCGCTAAGCTTGTGGACCACTTGACCTCTAAGCTCGTGGTGGTTAACTTAGTTAAATCACAGTTAACTAAATTTAATCGAAAGGGTGTCAGCCAGGTCACTTGTTGGTGATGTGTTGGAAACCTGTTAGCATCTTTTCAGTACCCTATTTTGTAACGATGGGCTTAATGCAGTAAGTTAATGCAGTATTTAGCACTCTCAGAAATCGACAGTGAAAATATTTCAGAAGTACTCAATAACATTCTTTCTAAAAGAAAACACCAGACTACTCACTACTGTTGTTCAGATCGTCTATCTCTACCATCCATCTATGCAGTGTGGATTTTTTATTGAAAAATCCATTAATTTTACTAGCCTAAATTCCATTCTGGACCCTCCCCCTACTTGGATGTACCCCACTGAGCCAGATAAAGTGCTACCATGTGTAGAGGGTAACCATTACAACCCTATGAGTGGTACCCATTCAAATACTGCCACGTTACACTGTTAATCATATCGTTCATGTTGCCTTTGTATGCAGTTGGTTAAGCTGTGTTTGCTGCCATCCCTCCCTTCCCTCTAGAAGGGAAGTAGCTGTGAAACTCTGCACCATGGTTCACAGAAGAGCAGTGCCTGGTGGTTGCCGCTCACAGGGTTGTCACAGTTACCTTTTGAGCTCATTTTCAACTCCCTCAGTATGTCTGAACACCTTCACACACCGAATATTATTTACATTGTAACCCTTTAAGCCACAATAGTGACCCACATCCAATTTCTCCCAACAATAACACTGCCTGTTTAAACAGACAGGTCATGAGAATTAATGAAATGATCACCAAAGATGTAAAGTTGTGATCAATGTTAAGTTAGAACAAATTCTCTCAAGCAGTACCATAAGAAATGTTTGAAGAACAGTGTGGAGAAGATGCATGTTGATGCTGGGGCTTAAAGGTTTAATAATGATCATTATTTTTGGTCTTATGTAGTGTTTTTGAAGGAGAGCTTGCTGATGTAATTCCAGTTGTTCATGCTTCAATTGCTGGATGTAGAATCATAGGAAGACTTTGTGTAGGTATGTAAAAATGATTGTTTACTTGAGGTAGTTACAGTTTTTTATTGCATTGTTGTGCATGAAAAATGCTGCAACCCTTGTTTATGGTTTCTAAAGAAAGTTATTGAATAAACTGAGTTGCTTTTAACCCTTTGACTCCGGAGAGAGCCATTTGGCGAACATTTCGTCCCAAAAAAAGGCTCATAAGGACTCCATATTGTGTCAAATGACATTTTATGTCACTTATATGAGTTTATTTATAGTATGATACCCTTTCAATTGGTTTATCGCCTTCCTTGAGTGACTCTTTTGCTATTATTTCCTTGATGTGTTTACGAGAACATTTGAAAATAGCGTCAGACCTGGATGATTTTCACCAAATCATACTCAAAACACTAGATTTTAGCAATGATTCAGGTGAAGATCAGTTTGATTGTTCCACCAAACATTCTGGCAACAATTTTAGAGCTGAAATATGCACATACACTTCATGGTAGTCAAGAAATCAGTGAAGAAAGAGAGCAAGTGGGCTGGTGACCGTAAGACATCCAATGTCAGCCATAAGACACAGAATCCAGCAAACAGCAGCTCAAACAAACTTTAAGTTCATATATTTTAGTTTTGGAAATGCTAATATGTCTTAATTACAACTAAATAATATATGTTTATAGATATTTTTACTTTAAAGATAACTTTAGAGAAGCTTTTTTGTGTGTATATGTCAAATTTGGAGAAAAATTAGTGAAAAACTCAGAAGTTAAAGGGTTACTAGTACATGTAAGAGGGAAGCATAATTTTATGTGCAAACAGTCTTTTTAGTAGTGATGAATCTGTAGCCCTTTATGATCTGTCCAGGCAAAGTTTGTTGATTTATACTAGAAAGAGGTGAACCATCGGAGACAAACTTGAGCAAGCATTGAATTTAGTATGTGTATCATGTAATTCCACTGTGTTTATGTTATGAATCATCCTTGCATTAGGGGTAATTAGGGGTAAACTAGGGGGTCATCTTACATGAGGATTCAGTTCCTCCCTGATGGCAGCCTTTTTGTATTGATTATTACAAATAAATTAAAGTTGTTATAAATAAAAAAATAAGTAAACTGCAGGCCTTGTGCATGTGTCTGCTTAGTTCCTCGTCATTGAGAAGTTAGTGGAGAATTCATTTTGCTCAAATTTTTACACAAAGGGAATACCAGTCAGACATTGAAGACTACTTGACCATGTTGCTTGCTAAACAGATTGTCCTTCTCCATTGTAAATTCACTTGTTTCTTTTTCTGAAAGGATCATCTCAGTATTTTCTATTATAGACTTAGTTACTGGTACGTTTTCTGTCACCCTCTGCAATCAAGTCACAAACCACTGTTGATGTTTAGCGATTATCAGATAACAATTTAAAATATCAGATAGCAATTTCGACTCAATTGCAAAAATGTGAGTGCCCAGATTGTGATAAATCCTAGCAGGAATATGAAGCTTTGGTTTCCTAGCTTTACTTAAAAGAAGTTTCTTTAAGTAATTAGCTAACATAATTTTTTATTATTCAGGATGTACCGTGGTGCAGTGTTAAAGTTTTGTAAAATATATTAAATATACCCAATCCAATCCAATTTAGATTGTAAGTTGAGAATGACTTTGAGGATGACATTTCTCAAATACTAAGTAGTGTGTGTCTGGAACCAGTATCATTTTGGTGGGAAAATGCAATAGCCATCATATTTCTACTAACTATAGGTTTTGGCGAAAATGTCAGGGATGTGGAAACAAGTTATCAAAAATGTAAGAAGGTTTATCATTTTGTGATGTGAAACGGGCTTAACCTGCTTCAACAAAAACAATATAACTGTGCAAACTTTTCTTCTGAGAAAACATAAAATAAAGCTTTCCAGGATGTCAATTTTTTGAGAAATAATACTATATAACAAGTCAAATCTCATCCTCAAAGGCCTTTTCAAATCAGGTTAAGGTCTTTATTGTAGGAGAAATGGTGTTAGTTTGTGTTATTAGGGTAGTTGGGGAGAAGCAGTATGTATACTTCTACTGTTATCCTTAGTAACATTTAAAATGCTTTTCAGGGACTGAATTTGAGATCATAATATTTTATTTGCCTTTTAATAATAATAATAATTGTTATTCATTGTAGGTAACAGAAATGGGCTTCTTCTACCCAGCACAACAACAGATCAGGTGCGAATGAAGCTGAAAATTCTATTCTGCTCAGTGTCTTGCTTTCTTGTTTATTTTTTTCAGGAGCTTGAAGCATAACCATTCCACATTTTTTAATGGTGGACATTTTGCACTACTAAACTGTGTAACTTGAGCTGTCCAAAAATCACTTTTTCCCTAGCTAGCTGGATTTGTTTATCTGGTCATCCTAAGTTCAGCCCCCTTAGTCATGCTTGTCTTAGCCAGCGACTAGTTTACCTTTTATCAGTTACAGTTCTTGACCATGTTATGTTTAGTAAGAATTTTTGGTTAGTGCCTAGTTTTCCGTACGGCCTCAAGTGAACTAACTTGAGCACTGCAGTGGATTTCCATGAGAAGTAAAGCTTCATTTATTTGAATTTTGATTAAGTGCATTGCCATAACAAGAAAAAAAATTATAACATATAAAGTGATTGTCAAAATGTGACTCAAACTGTTAGGTCCATTCACAACCCAAGGTAGACTGTGAACACAAAAACAAACTAACAAAACAAATTATCCTCCTTAGCGAAATTTTCCTTTTAATGTGGCTAAATATAATTTAGGCTAAGTTAAACACAAAACGAAACTGGGCAGCAGTTTTCCCCCAAGGGTTGGTATGTGGGGTGGCTGGTGGTTGTTTACAGGGGCTCACGTGTTTACACCTTGGCTTAAGATGTCAGTCATTCTGCATTTGCTTCTTTTTCACTACTGGGCACCTCTCACTGATTTTACCCCTTCTCTGCCCATCCCTGTTAGCATGTTAAGTATGTGGTACGTATTTTAGTTTCCACTGATTTTCAGTGTGGCGGTGCCTGGTGGTTGCTCCTCACAGGGTTGTCATGGATACCCTACGTGTTCGGCTCTTCTTTTTCTTGTGGCTCTACCTTCTTCGGCACTATTCCCATGCCTGCGTCTATTGTTGATGGGTTTAATAAAAAGTTCAGTAGCTATCAAGTATTGCAATAAAATAGTTTTCATTCTGAGAGATACATGTGTATGATATTATTGTTAACAATAACATGCTATTATTTATGTGTTCTTTTTCGATGGGTAGTTACGGCAAATTTGATTGATTCACTTACATTGATTATTAAAATATCTTTATTACTTTTTTATGTGTCTCCCAATTTTATAGGAACTGCAACACATTCGAAATTCATTGCCTGATGCTGTGAAATTACAGAGAGTGGAAGAAAGGTTGTCAGCACTGGGGAATGTAATAGCATGTAATGATTATGTGGCCCTAACACATCCAGACCTTGATAGAGTAAGTCAATAAGAATTTTCGTTTTGTTGTTTTAAGTTCTACAATATGTGTAAAATATGTATTTAGAATTTAAACTACTCAATAATCTTGCTAAACCTCTTTATTGTTGTTGTTGTCTTCAAAACACGCGAATTTGTCTTCAAAAATGTCTGCTCTTTTGCTTGGCCAAATTGACAAGTATGACGTAGAATTATTCGTAAGAATGTAGAACAATTAAGAAGACGGCGGCAAATATGAAGGATTGTCATTGCCTTAAACTCCTCAATCATCTTCACAATCTTAATTTACTTTGCTATACCTTTGTTAAGGTCAGGTAAAGGTTTGTTTATTGTGGAAATGCACTTAGCTTATCAAGCTAGTGTACAGGCACTCCACTGAAATAATTCTGAAACAAATAATGCAAATAGAACATAACAGGCTAAGGATTAAAAACCCTAACTGGCGGGAGGCAACCAGTGGGCTATTTACAAGTGTGGCTGAGGATTTGAACTTAGGACAACCGAAAACAAATCCAGCAAGTGGCGAGAGCCGGACTCGAACCAGGGACCGCCAGATTACGAGTCTGATGCGCTAACCACTCATCCACGTTGCCTCCCGAACATACAATTGTATGTACATTGGTACATTGCTTAATTCCACAGAACACAAACCAGTGACCCAAATCGGAAGATAAGGCTGAGTAAAATTACTGACGTCACGTTACATCATCAGCTTTTCTTTCATACATGTACCTTTACTCGTTCCCAGTCTTAAGGACATTTCTGTAGGGGAAAAAGCAGTTTTAAAGTTAACAAGAATTGTTGATTATTGTTGATTAAACCTATCTATAGGTGAAAAACATATGGTGTCATGTACACTTTAATATACCATTTTTGACAGAAAAGGGTACCCCTTTTGTATACCTTCTAGTGATAAATGGTACCCCTTTCATATACATAGGCTAGAACTTGGTATCCCTTTAGATTGCCATAAATTCACTGTCTTTGTAACATGAATAAATCTCAAAACCAAAATGTTTTACACGCTTTCGCACACCATAAAATGCATGTCATTATGGTCCTGTTTACAGACTGAAATGACATATTTCCCTACCCTTTTGTATACTTCAACTAACAAAATTCCTACCCTTTTATATACCTGAAGCCTGAAGAAGTTACTCCTTTTGGGTGGAACCTCCCTGTATTGTCAGTAACTGGTTATGGTGAATTATGTATGTGCTCTTAACCAACAAGAATTGGGGAAATATTTTGAATGAATAATAATGGGTGTTCATGGTAAACTGGTGATATCTTGCCAGCAGCACACTGTTCTAGAAATAATGTACTGCTGTTTTAATATACAAACGAGTTCTCTTAAAGTTGATATTGCTCTTCCTATCAGGAAACAGAAGAGATATTGGCAGACGTACTTAAAGTGGAGGTGTTTCGACAGACAGTTGCGAAGAATGTTTTAGTAGGGAGTTACTGTGCTCTAAGCAATCAAGGAGGCCTTGTAAGTCAAGAAGCAGATTTCCTTTAAGCAATGCTTCTCTCTTTCATTGACAATGCAGTATTTTCAGTAGTTGATATTCCTGTAGTATTATATGCTTTAAATTTTAAGTTTTTCATTTGCATTTGCCCTTCATTTAATATCTTAATACTGTTTTTATTTGAAGGTTTTCAGTCTATTCCTTTGTTTTCAAATCTGAGACAAAGGGAGTGGTGCTTGTTTTGAGTATTATTTTGAATGCCGTAGACATTTCTGCTACTGAAATGAGAAAAAAATTTGCTGATTCTTTCACCTATTTTTAGACCAGGGTCCCAAATCTTGGCTTACGTCAGATAGTATGATAAAACTATCAGTTAAAAAAACACAAAATATGGTTTGTCAGCTAGGAGTCCTGTGCTTTGATTCTTTAGATTTTGATTTGAATATTTGATTTTAGGCCAGAAATATTTCCACTTAACTTTTAAGAAACAAGCTCCTGTTGAGAAACCAGTGAGAGTAGAGCAGAGTGGGAATGGCTCTTGCTCCAGGGATGGCACTAGGATTTTTTAATCTGGGTCCTCGGACCCACATGTCCGGTGAAATTTGGGTCCCAAGCTTTTTGGGTGGGTCCCAAAATCTTGGTGACCCTCCCCTAAGAAATTCTCTTTGTTGTTGTTATGAGAAAGAGTGACTGGCAAATTACTGTCATACTGTTAACTAAGCTTTATTGTCTTTTTTTTTGTTGGAAAACATTAACTTTAGCATTTAAATGTTTTTGCTGAAGCGAAACTTTTGCCGAACTTTTGTGATCCACCTGACTCATTTGACGAACAAGTGCCGATCTTTGGAAATTTTTCATCCACTTGTGAACGCATTCTTCTTTCCAGCTTTTTTGCAATCTTTACAAATCATCAATAAGTCATTGCCTGAGCCTCTTGTTCGCAGCTATCCAAACTTTTTCAGCCGTTAGTCTAAAAACTGATTATGTCTTCCTCCCTTTTCATGGTTCATTGCCGTATTACAGGCACATGTAAGTGGGCACTTTACCAGCACAACTGATCAAACAATGAACAAACATGGCGGAGCTCATTCAAGTTTCCCGGATGTGTAAATTGTCTCCAGTTCCCTTTGTGTAGTTAAATCCAATATAGCAGGCACTATGTGAATTTGCTTTGTTCACAAATTTTTTACATGTCACTCAAACAACAACAAAATCTATTCAAGTTCTTCAAGTCAACATCTTGCATCCTGGGACGCATTAAAATTTTGATGATGCATTTTTTGCATTTTGTTTGCATAAAAATGCACGATTTCTGCATTAACGCGATCTCTGTGCTCAGTCAGTAAATTTATAGTACATCGTAGACTCCTAAGTGAGACCATCTGGATGTAGTTTTATCTGTCCTATGTTTTTTATATCACATTGTTTTATGTATATAGAACACTAGTGCAATTATTTGTCGTGTAATGTGAATGTATAAGAGCATCTTTTATAATATTTTTTCCATGTACAAGACTAACAAAGGCTCACCCTAAGTGATACCAAAATAATTTTATTGGCCTCCCACGCAGGTGTTTTTAGGGGAGTCGTGTTTCCTCATGGGGAGGGTCGAGGAAAAACGCCTAAATGGGAAGCTATACCAAAACAGGATTTCCCCAACTGGATCAGTCAGTGAGCATCTCCACCCCTCCCCTTGTGATCTAGCCTCTGAAGTGTCCTATGTGTTTGCATGTAGGAGTGTTATAATAGGTACATCACTTCATAAAGGAACAGGCATTGTTAATGTAAAATACGTTATCTTTTTTATCTTTTGTAGGTGCATCCTCGAACATCAGTTGAAGATCAAGATGAGTTGTCTTCACTGTTACAAGTTCCTCTTATGGTATGTACATCTGCTCCGTCAACCTCCCTTTGTTTTGCCCATGTAAGAGAATCCGCATTCCCAGAGATTTTTGCTTGTGAAATGCAGAATCGGGGAAATTTTTACTTGTGGGATCCGAAACACTGGGTTTTGGAATCCAGAATCCAGAATTCCATGAGTGATTGGGATCCGGAATCCTAGTCCCACCGACAAAGAATTCAGAATTCAGTACCTGTATTTCCAGAATCCACAGTGTGGAATCCAGAAGCCAAGACTGTCTTGGATTCCAGTGGCGGATCCAGGAGAGGGGCCCTGGGGCCCAGCCACCCCCTAATTTTTAGACCAAACTGAGGCCCAAAGGGCTGAAAAAAAGTTCTTAGAGACCGGTCCCCCCTTTTTTCAGGGTCGTGGATGACTGTCCTCCTCCCCCTTTATTTGAAGGTCTGAATCCGCTACTCTATTCCCTCACGTACAGTGGGATGATTTGTTCATTGATGAGAAATAACCTGTGAAAGTATGGAAATAGCAAGAACGTCTTTTGCTAGCCTGAAATATGACTCTCATTTCTCTTTGATCTCAGTTTCATAAATTTGCTTGCACCACCTAAAAATAGTCAGCAACATTAAACAATAATATTGTAGCATTGTTTTACAGGCTGGAACTGTCAACAGAGGTAGTGATCTAGTGGGAGCGGGTATGGTTGTTAATGACTGGAGTGCATTTTGTGGGCTTGACACGACCAGTACTGAACTGTCTGTTATAGAAAGTGTGTTCAAATTAGGAGATGCTCAACCTTCTGCTGTAGCAACCACTATGAGAGCTTCATTGGTTGAAAGGTACAAATGTTTTCTTGCTTACTTTTGTTAAAATGTCCATTCTAACATTAGAATTACACAAAATTGAAAATCAAGTAGAATCCTAAATTTCAATGATTAATAAAAAACCAGTATTTTTGTTCCGCTACTTAAATTAATAATAAAATAATTTTCTCAACACAATCCTCTGGGAGTCTGTGATCCTTTTCCTGGATATGCAAATACTTTCTTTTGCTTCAATAAATTTGTATAGTTGCTGGCCACGTAAGATGGTTTCAAGGGCAATAACCTTTAGCCTTAAAACAGCCAAAAAAATTTAGTAATTAGGCAAAAAACATAGCATTTATTAACGCTAACCATATTTATTTTTTGTAGCCACAATTTGTCATGTAGCGTGTCAATATTGCTTTTACGAGTTTTTGTGTCTCGTAGCTGATGCACCCTATTTTAGCCTTTTCTACTATCCTGTAATTGCTACTTATCAGTGTTTTCCGATTTTATACCATGCCATAGAAAATACAGCCAATCAGAATACGGAAAAGCCGTTGTATATTTAACAATTAATGAATGAGGCTGAGTATCTTATGAAGAATTATGGAGATCGAGGAGATTCAAAATAATTCCTTTTTTAGAAACAAAGCTAAAACATGCTTACCTCCATCGATGTTAAGTTCACCTTCGATAGTGCACGTTTAGGGTTGTTCAGCTCCGAAAATATTCTCCAAATAGCAGATGTCGCCCTTTGAGTCATGTTCTTGCTGTTCTTGTCATGTTTTGAGCTGTAATTTCATTCAGGAGCCACCTCGCTCAGGTTTTGCAATCCTTTATGTTAATGACGTTAACTTTTTGACTTGCATTCTTTGTATTTTCTTTCACGAATTCAATCAACTAACATTTTGGGAGCGTTTTTAAATCTTCTGTTCTTTTCCTCCGTCGAAGAGTTTTATCTTCAGTGAGGTTATGAATTTTGCAAGCGTTTGACTAAAGTAATTGCCCCCGCAAGAATTTCGCCTTCTGGGCGAAACCCAACGAGGCACTCTAGTAACTCGTGCGTATATTAAGGAAAGTACTTACAGTTGAAATATACAGGCAGTATGCCAGAAAAAATCTCGATTTGCTTGAACAGGGGCCGCAAGGAATCGGTAGGTAATGGTGACGTTTCTATTGTTCGCGCCCGCAAGTACGAGATGGTTAGGATGACGTAAAGACAGAAAATCCCGAAGGGACCGCTTGCGATAGGTAGATTTTGTGACATTTATTTTACAGTCATACTTCGATACCCTTTTGCGTTATGTGTTATCAGTGACATTCTGTGGAGCAGTTGTTTTGAAAGTTACGGACAAAAAGACACTCGTTATGCGCAGATGAAGTTATAAGGTGCGTATAACTGTGTATATATACTATAAACACTTGGAGAGTTTGCCAGACACGAGTTCACAAATCTTTGATTGGAAACCTTGCCAGACACTCTTTCTCTTTCTTGGACCGGAATAAGACTCAGCCCCAAACAAGCAAGACGAGTGGATCAACGGCTAGCTTATCACTAGCCTGAGATCATGCCCTCTCCCTATTATCTCTTTATGTCTCTCACGGGAAGAGGGCATGATACATTTCTTTGTCGGATCACATGTAAAAATGCCAGAATCTGGACTTTTTTCTGATTGGATAGGAAACAATGCGGATGATTTGCGCTGTTCCGATTGGCCAAAATGACGCCATCCGTTAGTTGTTGTTGATTTCAGTCTGCATTTTTGCTTGCGTAATAAGCAGTGAATACACACGCGAGTTCGTTATAAATGAAATTTCTGCCCGCTCAGTTTTCTTGAATTTGAAGAATGCCTGAATAGAAGTTTCATCCATTGAAATATTGACCAGCTCATCGTATACCAAAACAGTTGCACTTAAAACTTCACCGATCATTTGAATGCAATTTGATACCGGCAACAAGTTACAGAAGCGACAAACGGGTTCACTTTTCAAATAATCAATTCATGAATGGAATCTTGACCTGGTTTGACTGTATTTCCTCCTTCAGAAATCATGCTGCGAATTATCCTGAGCGATCTTCGCTTTCACAACACCTTTCAGTTCGTGAAATATGGTGCTTCAGCCTAATTTTTTTTTCCACTGCTTTCGTAGTACAGAACGAAGTCAACGAGCTTTAACCAGTAAATTCTTTGTTATTTGTAGCTATTCACAAAGGTACGACAGCTCCAGAGTATTTCATCACAAAACAACACATTAATTTTTTTTATTATTTTTTTTGCGAAGCGCCATCTGAACACGGACGTACTTAAAAAATTTTTTTTCCCCTAAAACTGATCATGATTTCAAAAGAGACATTATTCGCGCCAAAATTTGATTCCCGTTTGATAAACGCTTATTGGCTAAAAACATGACAGGTCAAGCAAACGGTAGATCATGTAAATTAGGGGGCGGTTGACTGCTTGTTAAATAAATGTATCAGGCGTTATTTTTTTTTCCCTATCGAGCCAAAGAAGCAAAAAAAAAAAGAAAAAAAAGACGCCTGATCTCAGGTTAGCTTATCACCAGCAGAACGATGGACGATTACAGAAATTCGCCGACAATCAAATTCTGTGCTGACTTATTCCCTGCTCACAGATGTCCTGCCGCTATGAAGTTTAAAATAAGACTAGAATGCGCGAACGTGAATCGATCAAACGTCCTTTAATTTCTAAAGCTTACTTTCCAGCAAATAAAATGAACTGAATGTAAAAAGTGAAAGAAAAAAAAAATAGCCAAAAATTCAACCTCTAATTTCTATTTCTTATGGTTTAGAATAAACTATTCTTGAAACTGAGAATGTTTTGATCAAAGCTGTGTAAATCGAGCTGAAACTGTGTATGGAACCTTGCGTCTCCTGTATTTATCTCACCTATTGTATGGAATAATTATGTGTCAAAATCTTCCTTATGAATCGGTATATTTCAAAGAGCTAGCCAACGACCAAGAATACTGTTGACCGACAATATACAGAGCAGGGCAGCTGTAGTGTCAACTATTACTAGTTTATTTGATTTGCATTTTTTCAATTCTATATCGTGAATTTTAATTAAAAAACATTCTGTTACGAACATTTACAGTTTAAATATACAGTCAATATACTGGAAAAAATCTCGATTTGCTCGAACTGGGGCCGCGAGGAATCGGTAGGTAATGATGACGTTTCTATTGTTTGCGCCCGCAAGTACGAAATGGTTAGGATGACTTAAAGACAGAAAATCCCGAAGGGACCGCTCAGGTAGATTTTGTGACATTTATTGTTCAGTCATACTTCGATACTCTTTTGCGCCGTTACGCAGTGACATTCTGTGGAGCAGTTGTTTTGAAAGTTGTGGACCAAAAGACACTCGTTAAGCGCAGGGGAGGTTATAAGGTGCGTTTAACTGTGTATATATAAACACTTGGAGAGTTTGCCAGACACGAGTTCAGAAATCTTTGATTTATATTGGAAACCTTGCCAGACAATCTTTCTCTCTCTTTGACCGGAATAAGACTCAGCCCCAAACAAGCAAGACGAGTGAACAACGGCTAGCTTATCCGACTCGCAGATTGATGGACATTTACAGAAATTTGTCGACAATCAAATTCTGAGCTGACTTATTCCCTGCTGACAGATGTTCTTCCGTTATGAAGTTTCAAATAACACTAGAATGCGCTAGCGTGAATCGATCAAACGTCCTTTTAATTTCTAAGGTTACTTTCCGTCAAATCAAATGAACTGAATGTAAAAAGGGAAAGAGAAATAGCAAAAAATTCAACTTCTAATTAAATCTTTTCTTATGGTTTAGAATAAACTATTCTCGAAACTGAGAATGTTTTGATCAAAGCTGTGTAAATCGAGCTGAAACTGTGCATGGAACCTTGCGTTTCCTGTATTTATCTCACCTATTGTATGGAATATGTGTGAAAAACGTCATTATGAATCGGTATATTTCTAAGAGCTACACAACCAGCAAGAATACTGTTGACCGACAATAAAAAGAACGGGGGCAGCTGTAGTGTCAACTATTACTAGTTAGTAACGGAGTTTTAAAAACGTCATCATCTTTGACAAAAGGAAGCCAGTTGAGAGCCATTCATAATGATGTTTGCGCGTATGTCGAATTTATTGTGCTGCCAACTGTATTTCAGTTCTATGGCATGGTATTAAATAGTTATGCAACGCTTTCGAGTTGTATACCATGGAATATGCGTCTTGTCACTTGTATTTTCTTGGTATACACACTCACCTAAAGGCTCGTGTGTATACCGGGAAAATACGCTTGACTCGTATACCACGAGATCAGTACTCCCACACGGCAAATATGTAAAACAGTTTTTGAGAATTTTTAATTAATTTTCTGTTAGACTGATGTTTTTAACCGTGTTTAAATAAAGTTATCATTCATTCATTCATCGGATGTTTTGTTTTAATACAGTATTTTGTTTAAATATTCCACAGCATGACATAAGTGTCAAGAGAGCCAAAGGATTATATCTTTGTATTTACAACTGTCCTTTAAACAAGACACCTGCTGGACTTGGTCTGACTTTTATAAAACTACAAGTCTATTTTGGAGGCCTCCCTCTGTAACTGCTGTAAGTGAAGATTGTTCCAGTGGCAGAGCCACCTATATGAAATAGCCTCTCCACGAACTGGAGAGATACTATACTGATACTATTCATATTGCTGCGCTCCTCCAGGCGAGCAGGACGCTAATCATTGGGCGTTCTGTGATTCCTTGGGTGTCCTGTAGCTATATAGGCGTTACAATCTCGATTTTTGTGTCAGGATGATTTTTAGCAGAAATGGCCAGCGGTATTATAATAACTTAATTTAAAATCAAAACACACATGGTGCGTCATTCTAATTGCGCTACGTTTTGCATGTTCCGTAGCCTGCATACCAGGCTCTTGGAGGTAATATTCTTGCCTTCATTACTTCCAAGCGCCTGCTGCGGAGGATGCATATTATGGTGCGCGCAACCAGTTTCAAATTATTTTCGTAAGACCCAAATAACAAAGAACTCGTACCATGATTTTAGGATT